CGCAATTGACAACTAAAAGTGAAATTATCAATTTAAAATTGAAATTTAAATATTAAAGTGTAAGTAACCAAAAAATAAAATTTGTAAATTTAAATTAAAAATTAAAATTTCAAATTTCAAAGGAAAATTGCAAATTAAAATTGAAAATTAAAATTTCAAATTTCAAAGGAAAATTGCAAATTAAAATTGAAAATTAAAATTTCAAATTTCAAAGGAAAAATGCAAATTAAAATTGCAAATTAAAATTTTAAAGAAAATTGCAAATTTCAATGGAAAATTGCAAATTAAAGTTAAGAATTAAAATTGTGAATTAAAATTGAAATCTAAAATAAAAAAATTAAAAACTACCAATTAAAATATAAAATTTTCTCAACAATTGATTAGAAATATTTCCCAATAAAACACAATTTTTAATTAAGTTCAATTTTTCCAAATCAACATAAAAATTCATAATAATAAAATTTAAAAAAAAAATTCTCACTTTTTTCAAATCAGATTGATCCTTATTGTGAAAATGATAAATAAACATATATAAAAATGTCCCATTTTCTCATTTTTTAAATTGCTAACAGAAAAAAAACAAAACAAAAATAAATAAATAAAGGAAGAAAAATGCGCGAAAATCGCCATTGAATAACGAATTTTTAAATTAATAGAAACATGCCGAGAGGAACATACCAATAAATATGCTTATGAAACATACGGTCGTTTTTTATAGCATGTAATTTTATCAAATATTTAATTAATCATGCATTTATGAAAAATTTGCAAAAAAGAAAAATCATTTATTAATACACTGAAAAAACAGAATTTAATCTTTATAAAATAGAAACCAAATAATGAAAACCACTGATGGAAGAGTTTGATATCAAAGAGGAAAAAAAATCTATCGTTAATAGTCTTTAGCACAAAAAAACTATACAAAAAAAAATTGCAAAATAATTGCAAAATTTTTGCACAAAAGAATTGCACAAAAAATCAAGAAAAATATTCCATACGACAAGTATATTAAAAATTTTCAATCTGGACTATTTAAAATTAAAAATCATTACGAAGGAAAATTCGAAATAAAATAATTAGTTTCTTTAAATATAAACTTTTTTATTGAAAAACTAATTTTTCAGTAAATTATTAAAATCTATTATAAATTTATTAACGAATTAATATTCGGTTATTAGATATTAATTATTGATTATATTATGAGAATTATTAATTAATAATTTATTTATTCATTACCGTATTATAATAATTAATTATCAACATTTGTTTATATTTCTTACATAATAATTTAAAATAATATAATTTTTATAATAATTATTTATAGTCTTGCATTTATAGTATTATTTATAATATTATTCATTTATTCATAATATATATTATTTACATAATAATTATTAATTATTATTAATTATTATTAATTAAATAATTATTAATTCATTGCAATTATTTAATATTCAAAATTATGAAAAGAACAGAAATTGTTTTCAAACTCTTCCAAAAATATTTCCACATTTCCTTCTATGTGTATAAATTTTTCATCAATCAAGCATTTTTTTAATATTCAAATATAATTGTATTTTTCAAATTCCTAATTACATATACATAATTAATTAATTAATTATATACATTTGTATGTATAAAAAAGGTTTCATGTATTTAAAAAACGAAAAAAATGTTTATCTGTATTTTCGAATATAAATTTTCAACCAGAAAAAAATAATTAATGCTACATGGTACATTAATTGTTTTTTTTAATATTAATAAATATTTATTATTTATTAGCCAACAAATTTTTATTATATATCGAAAAAATGTATTTATTGTGAGAAACGACGGTGAGAATTAGCAACAAAAAGAGATTTTATGAGAAGAAAAATTATTTTCTGATTGTAATGTGATTTGTAGAAATTTAAGAGAGAAAAAAAAGAAAAAGAATTTTTAATGTGCTCCTATAATAAATATTTAAGAAACAAAAAATTCATAAAATAAATAATAATTTTGTGAAAAACGAGCAGCAAAAAAGAGGTGTGAAATCTTCGTATTATATGCGTAAATTTAAAAGTGAGAATACTAATTGCCATCCTGGGGAAAAAGAAAAAGAAAAAACATTAATAATAATAATAATAATGAGCGATGCAGGCTTTAATGCAAAAAGAAGAAGAAAATTTAATATAATAAGTCATACAACGCACAGAATTAGATTAAGGGTTTTATAATGGTGCTCTATGAGGATAATTTCATTATTAAGTATAAAAATATTAGTTTTTCAAAACTAATTAATTTTTCAAAATAATTTGAATTATATAAATTATTTTTCATCTTATGAATAATTTTTTTATTTAATCGCATTAATTAATCAGAAAATGCAAATCGTATGTTTACAATTATTATTATACACGACATATTAATTAATAATTAATTAATATAATTATGATTAGTTATTAATTACTGATCGTAATTGTAGTTAATGAATTAATTATTAATAAATAATAAATAATGTTTACTATAATAAATAATTAATAAATAATTCATAAATATTTAATAAATAATTATTAAAAATAAATTCAAATACAATTCAAATATCATTATAAATTAAAATTCAAAAAAATTTTTTATTTTATTTAAAAAAAAATATATTTTTAATAATGAATTTTTTTAATTATTAAAAAATCTAATTACGTAATTTATTATTACATATATAATAAAGGATCGACATATCATGACGAAAGGAAAAGAGAGTTACTACGTTAATATTAATATTAATTATATTTTATATAAAAATATATAAAAAAGAGAAACTTAATTAATTAATATTAATAATTAATAAAAAAAAAAAAAAGAAAAATAGTTAAAAACGCGTGAAATGACATTTTTTGTTTCCCTATTATCTTCATGTAGAACACCATGGTACATACCAAAAACTTGTACATGTAAATAATTTTGTTTAAAAAAAAAATGGGAAAAGCATTATAAAGTTTATTGAGAATGTTGATTAAATTATAAAATGAGATTGTATGAACTCGATGTTCAAAGTAATGTGTTCAAAAAAAAAAAAAATACGAAAAGGAATTGACCACAGAATGAAGATTTATTGTAAAATAGAAAAACACGCGTTGATGAAGAAAAAAAAACAATTGACAAAGTTTATTAATAAATTTTAGTTATTTATTAATAATATTAATAGAATTCTAATATTAAAAATTTTAAATAATATAATTATGATAAAAATAAAGTTTGTGGTATCGTATATATTATATATAATATAATAATATAATAATTATTATACTATTGTTATTATAATATTTTCTTCCTTATTTATTACTAAAAAAATGAAAAAAAAATACTAAAATCATTTATTTGTTTACTGAAATAAATAAAATAGTAAATATAATAATAATAATAATAATAATAATAATACAATATAATTATGTAAAATATAGAATATTATATATAATATAATATATATACATAATAAAAATCATTAAAAACACTACTTCAGATCTATTGTGAAAATTTGAAAAATATATTCCATTTAATTAACAGCGGGAATATATTAAATGTGATGAATATGTGAGGATTATTAACAATTTTTCGCTTTAAGAATAATGTTATCCGTATATTTTGTAAGCAAAAGTTATTCGAATAGGGATTAAATAAACATTGCAAGTCCATTCAAATTTGGTCAAATTTATTCCCCTCAATTTTTTCCTCACTTATTTTTTTTTTTTCTTTTTAATATATTATAATATACCTAGTAATAATTAAATTAAATAATAATTATTTTTTTATAATTAATTTTTTCTTCTGAATAAATATAATTTATTTATTTATACTAAAATATACAGAAGAAATAAAATAATTAAATTTTTTAATTGAAATGTACATTTTAAATTAAAAGATTTAATTAAAATTGAAAAAAAAGAAAAGTTAATTGTATTTTTTTAAATTAAATATGTTAAATAATTAAATTCTCCACTGTTAGAAAAAATATTTGTAGAAAAAACAATTGATACACGTTAATATAACAAATATTTATGTCAAAATTTTTAGTGTAAAATACCTCCTACAATTTAAAAAGAAAAAGAAAAAAAAATAATTTTTTAATTATTAAATTATTTGTGACTGGAAGAATCGAAAATAAAATAAATGAAAATTATTTTTTCGCAAGTAAATAAATTAAGTTATTAAATAATAAACAAAAAGAAAATTAGTTTTTAACCTATTTTCAAAAGTAAAAATTATTATTATTATTTTTTATTATTGTTATTATTAATATTTTAATTATTCTTATTATTATTATTATTAATTTTTAGATAATGAAATTGAAAATTATTAATTTTACCAAACAATTAGAGACTGAAAAGTCTAAAAATCAGATGCACACTGGTAAAAAAAATATAATTGTTTATACAAATGTTGACAGTGGATGTTCACGCTTCTCCTTTATCAGCATTTTATATTTTACTCTCGTTAGTAAGTTGGCTTTGCATTTGCCGTTGGGGATTTCGATATGATATGCGAGATCAAGAAGTAATTAATTTTTTTCAATAAATAAACTACTTTTTAACAATAAATATTTTTAATTGTAATATTTTTCGTTTTAAACATTTCTGATTTAATTTTTTTTTATTTTTATATTTCTAATTTAATTTTTTTTTATTTTAATATTTCTAATTTTTATTATTTTTTTATTTTACATTTCTAATTTATTATTTTTTTAAAATTTATTTAATTAAATATTCAATTTCCTTAAATTTGATTAGTTTTGCAAATTTTCGTTTTTTTCCAGGTAGTTTATCATCTTATTGTCTATTTTGTTGTCGTGACTCTGTTAAATATGGTTTTTCTTGGACATATACAGTTTTTTAGTGAAGGAACAATTGAAAAGGAATGAAGTTTCATTATTAGAAGTAGAAAAAAAATTAATACGATTAAATAATATTGTTAAACTTTGTAAAAAGTATTAAAAAAAATTTTTAATTATTGAAAAAACGAATTGTGTTTTTAAATTTTCGCGCTCTTGGCGCCTGATCAATGTTTACTCTCTCTACTTCAAAGTATTGACACCAGAGTTTTGCAGTCAGATCAGAGCTGTCAGTGAAATTGGTTTTTTTCAAAAAAGGAAAATTATACAGAAAGGTAATTAATAGTATTTAAATACAAATTTTTTTTTCTAAAACTGACTTTAAAATATCCGTAGATTGAAAAAATGCAAAACGACAGTAAAATACGTAAAAATCTATAAACTTGTTTACTTTCTAAAATTTCTAACCTCACTTTTGGGGAGTAATACAAAAAGCAACACATCTTTAATTAGAATATTATATCATTTCAATAGTATTTCTTACCGTAGTCGTAGTATCTTTATTATTTTACTATAACAAATTTTAAAGAGAAATATATGCAAATACAAATTGAATCATAACCTCAATTTATCAAGTTACAAGAATTCTATTTCTAATTTCCAAAATGAAAATTTGTTTATAATTGAAAAAGATAAAGTATTTTACTCTAAAATAAAATAGAGATCAATAAACTAAAATTCGTGTATTCAATATTAATTTCAGATGTCATTGAATCCTAGATTTATTGCAAGAACAGTATTAGTTCAAAATAAGGATGTCGATGCAGCGTGTCGAGTTTTAAACCGAATTATGGGAAAAGAAGGAATGTTTGATCAATTCCGCCGCACGAGATATTATGAAAAGCCATTTTTAGTTCGACGCAGAATTAATTATGAAACTTGCAAAGCGATTTACGATGAAGATATGGGTCGAAAAATCAATTTTGTAATGCGTACGAACAGAACAAGCCCTCATCCTGGATGGATGTAATGTATGCAAATAAAATTTAGTCAATTTTTAAAATAACAGTGTCGATTATTTTCCACTGATTTCAATTTTCCAAGAATTTTCATATAAAGAATTTCTTTTTTATCTAAATTTTAAATATAAAAAAATACTTTGTATTTTTTTAGACATTTAAATCTTAGCGCCATTAGTCTCCATTTTGTAATACGAAAATCAAATTTATAATTTAAATTTAAAGAGATTTTGAATGTATATTATTTAAATTAACTAATTTTTAATATTTAGGAACTTTGAAATTATCATTTATTAATTATTTTTTCAATATAGGTTTAATTATCAACATTTTCTTTACAAAAGTAACAAAAATTTTTAAAGAATGGAAATTCTAACCTCAAATTTACAACGGTTTGTGAAATTTCCGCAACTGTCATTCTTGAAGACCTTGGTGTCAAAACTTTGGTTTCTTTCGTTTATTTTGGCTGTGAAGTAAAAAGGTTATTATTATTTTATTATTCTTCTCGAAAACCACTAATTTGCGTTTTTATAGCAATAGCAGGTATTTGTTAAAAGTTCCATAAAATATAACACAAACAGGAAAGTTTACTGTAAACTCGAAACATAACCTCACTTTTTTGGCTTTTTTCTTTAACTATTTTAAATTGCAGTATTTATCCTTAATCTGAACATTTTAGATTAAAAACTGAAGAAATAAAATTATTTCTAATGCCTTAATTACTTTTTTGTTTATTTATTTATTTTTATTTAATTTCTTTTTAGATCTATTTACTTTTAAATTTGTGACTATTCTTTAGCGTGGAAAACAACAAAAACGAATGATTTACTGAAAAAATAGTTATTGCAGTGTTTTAAGTTAATTTTCTAAATTTAGGAACTTATTCCAATCGAATCGTTATAAAGTAAAATAATTCGTTTTCAGATGGAGCCGATGACATTAGGTTCTCCTGTGGGAAGTCCTGCACAATCACCAATTACTCCTGGTGCTCAATCCTCCTATTTACCTGGATTTCTTCTCGGCGACAATAATATGGTAACGGGAAATTTTTTTCCTTTTAATAAAAAACAACTATTATTCAGGGTTGACACGAAACCTGGAAAATTTCTGTTTTTTTTTAACCTGGAAAATTATTTGAAAAGAGCAAAAGCGTGGCAACCCTGTTATTTATTTATTTAATACATATCTCCGCAGTCCATTAATTATAATTCTTTTTCTTCAAATTTCAGCACAGCAGAGTAGGCGTAGCGAGTCCGGATACATCACGATTCGTTCCCTCGCCCGGAATTCACTCACCATCCTCGAGTTTAAATTACGGCTCGCCTGACTATCGGACAAATCGCCAAAAAGCAATGTTCGGCACGCCAACGAGTCCCTCAAATGTCCCTCAAATTAATTCGGAAAATCAAGTTGGCGGACCACCGACACGCGGTCTCTTCGATTCATTAGAAACATCACAATTAATCTCCTCCCATACATCGTCACTAAATCAAAGTCACATGAAAAATCAATCACGAATTCTCTCGGGAAATATGAATACAACATTAATTGATTCACCGACAAGTCCCGTGAATAATAATAGTGAATCATCGCAAGGCCTCCTTCAATGGGTCACTGTCTTTGGCTTTCCTCCAAGTGCACTTAACGCCGTTCTCGCTCATATTTCCAGTCGAGTGCGTATCATTGACAAACATCAAGCGCCACATCCGCAGAGCAATTGGATCCATTTGAAATGCACCTCGGAACAAGAAACGCAACGCGCTTTATCCTGCAATGGAAATATTATCTCCGGATCAATTATGATTGGTGTGATACCATGCACTGACGAGGGTGTAATTTTAGGCTCGGACAAAGAGAATCGCTTTAAATTAAATAACAGTATGCGATTATTCACGTCGCCTGTGAAAGCCGGTGGTCAGGGCTTGGCGAATACTCCAATGAAAACACCAGTGAGAATTCAAAATGCAAGACCTTTAGTGACTGGTTACAATCAGAGTTTAAGTCCTCAATCTGTGAGACAACCAGAAAATATACCACACAAAACCACTGGTTTGGTGTCAAAAGCCATGGAATATGTATTTGGATGGTAAACACGAGATTTTAGGTATTTCATTTTAATTTGACTCCCTTTTCAAACAAAAAAATTTTTTTGAATCTTTTTCATCACGAAGAAGCGAAAGAGAAATTAAATCATTTGGAACTCTAAATCAAGAGAATAAAATTTACAATTATTTTCTTCTTTTTTGAAGATCATCTCACATCGAAAATATTCGTTTAGCACAATTTTTCTAAGTAATTTACCTCGTTTCTTAATTAAATTTACAAAATTTCAATTTTACACAAATACGATTTTTTAGTCTTCAATTTTTATTTATTTCTTAGAATTAGAATTATCCATTGCTAATTGATAACTTTTTAGACTTAAGTTTTTCACGAATGAAATGTTGAAATACAGGAAAAGAAAGTTTCGAACCGACCAAAGAATATTTTTTGACTAATTTTCCACCAACTAATTAATCTGAATTTAGTATTTCGAGAGAAAGGAAAATAAAATGACTTCTATTAAAAACAATATTAACTAATTTTTCTCTATAAAAATTAAAAAATGGCGAAACAAAAATTTATTCAAAAAATTAAGAGTTAATATTTACAGAAAATAATAATTTAGATAAATAAAAATCGTAATTTGACGTATTTGCAAAAATACGTTAAAAATTAATAAAATATTTTAAATATTTAAATTAAAATCTCTAAAAGTTAAAAATTAATAAAATATTAAAAATATTTAAACTAAAATATCTAAAAGTTAAAAATTAATAAAGCATTTAAATTATTTAAAATATTTAAATTAAAATAAAAAGTTAAAAATTAACAAAATATTAAAAATATACAAAAAATAATATCGAAAAAATCATTATTCTAATTTATTTTTCTTTGCAAATTCGCGACAGTAAAAAATTGTGTTAAACGAAAATTCACAGGACAGACAAATGTACATTTAAAAATTACATTTTCTCGAGTGATTAATTCACAAGAGTTCCCTTTGAGAAAAATTTTTTTCGAATAAATAAAACAATATTATATTTGATACTTCAAAAAAGGTAAAAAAAGAAAATTGTACTAGAATTATTAATGTAAAAATTGTTTCCGATTTTTTTCTACCAAAAAACTTGACTTTTCTTTGTAAATAATAATCAAATTATAGCAAATTTTTTTTTGTTAAATTTTAACGATAATTTGTTATGTTAAAATAGTGTTGAAAATAAAAGGAAAAACATTTTTAAGTTAATTTTATTTAATCGAAACACGATTATTTAAAGAAATACTTCACTATACAGTATACAGAAAATACTACTTTATGTATTAAAAAAAAATCTTGTAAAAATTTACTACCTACTTTTTTTAAGTTTCGAATTTTGAAAGTTCAATTGTGAAAAAAATGTAAGAAAAATGTTTTTTTATTATTTTTTATTGAGTAAATATTTTTGTAATTGAAATTTTATGGAAAGAGAAAAAATAAAATTATGTAAAAAAAAAACCTTGTGGAAATTTATTTTTCTTTTAAAGTTTCGAATTTGAAAGTTCAATTGTGAAAAAAATGTTTTTTTTTATTATTTTTATAATTAATAATATATAATTATAATTATAATTGAAATAATTGAAAATAATTGGAATTTAATGGAAAGAGAAGAAAGTAAAATTATGTCGAGAAAATTTCGTTTATTTTACTTGGTAACAGTACTAAAAAGTGAACATTTAATCAATTAGAATTGCAATTAATCACAATTTTTTTGTTTTTATAATATATTTAATATAAATATATATATATATGCTTTTCTTTATACGTTCTACGCAAATATTGAGTCTTGATTTGAAAAAGTCTTTGTAAATTATTGAAATAATAAAGCATATATATATATAAAGTTGTGTGTTTATATGTACTCGAAGATATTAAAGTTTCTTTCTTAATAATTATAAATTGCGTGTTAAACAATGCAAAAACGTCAATATTTTATAGTACATTTCTAAAATTAATAATCTAATAATTCTAATTAACTATAAAATAAATATATTTTTAGTAAATTTGCATTGCTTTTTTTTCTAAACTTATTTCGGGCTTTCTATGCTCGCATTACCCAAATCAGTCATTTTAGGATATTTTATTTTCTTCTTGTCCAATTCGTCCTGCGCCCATAAAATAAGTTTTAACAAATTATTCAGTCTCGGACTTGTTAATTCTCTGTGTTCGGTTTTTAATATAGCCGCATTCAATTCGCTTGCGATCTGCAAAAAATAATATAATATATTGCAAAAAATCTATATTTTAATAATCATTGAATTCTTGTAAAGAATTTATCAAAAAATTTGAAAATAATTGAATTTTATGAAGAATTCAATTATTTTCAATAATTGTAATAAACTTCTTTAGTAATTTTATAAATAATAAAAATCTTCGTGAAAAATTCAATTATTTTTATTTAAATAATAAATAATAATAAACCTTTTGTCTGTGAGTCGGATGTAATAAATCACTGAAGGGACTCTTGTGTGGTTCGTCAAATGCCAATAGAGCCAAAGTTCTTTCCAATTCGCTTAAAATATTATCATCAGATTCCCCAGCTTCACTCAATTGTTCTTGGGCAAATTGTAAAGCCTCCTCGATCCGTCCGGTGCGAATCAATTCAATGAGATGTAATTGTTGAAGATGAAAATAGAGATATCTATCATTATCCAACAATTCTGGATGTAACTGATTGACAAGATCTGTAGCCTCTTGAATTCTACCATTTTGAATTGCATCCCGAATTCGAATTCTATCGTCCATCGAATTCAATTCAACAGTGGGTCCAACTCCAGATTCCTGCTGGAATTTTTCCGCTGCTTCCTTAAATCCCTCTGCAATTAGAAAAAGAAAATCTTTCTTAAAGCGAAGAACTTTATATGAATTTTAATTATAAATCTCTAAACAAAGAAGGTAAAAAATATTCCCTAGTCATTTAAATTTGAGGTTATAATTTTCTTCCCATTGTTGACAATCTCAATCTGACAATTTAGAAAAATTATAAACAGACGATAACTCACCAGTTACTAAATAATTCATTATTAAATTATTCATTGATGTTCTTTGAATATGTGAACCCTCCTCGAGTTTAGCGATCCATTCGTCTTTAGAAACACCGTCCTGTTTCTCGGAGAAACTCATTTTTACGACAAAAATTCACTAAATAGTCATGAACTTATCTAAAAGGGGAAATTAATTTCACTCGTATTGTAATTGGAATTAAATGGAAAAGATTAATAACAATTGTAGAGAATGTGAGAAACTTGTTATTGAAATGTATTGTTTATTTGTCAAATCTGAGATAATTGACAGATTGTAGTGTATGAGGAACAAGCACAAGCGAAATTTTGTAAACTAGTAGAGATAGTGTTTATTTACAATTAATAACTATAATTATGATACTACACGATAAATATTTACCATTCACAGTCAATCCGATATTACTTTTCTCTAAAAACAACGTGAAACAACGTCTGATGTATTTTTTTTTCTTACGTATTTATTATTTTAATTTCCAATTTGACAGGTCACATTATCGACAGTCGGTAAAGTAGTTGCGATCGCACTGCCATGTTGTTGAAAATTGTAAATAATTTGACATTTATTCAACAATGGCTGCCGAAACAGGACGTGTTTTTGTTTACGGAGGAAAAGGAGCTCTTGGATCATCTTGTGTGTCTCTGTTTAAATCAAAAAAATGGGTGAGTTTTTTTATCTCCAATATTAACAATTAACATTTTCTTCTTTATAGTTTATGTGAAAATTTCGATTGTATAGCTTTATTTCATTTGCATCCAACCACTTGTTGGAATGCTGTAAGGAGACAATGTTTAAATAATCAATATCCTTTCTAATTTTACAAGGTTAACACTGATTAGAAAGTAGACTTGTCTTAAAATAGCACGTTTGGTATTTAAAAACTAATTTACAGTCACAATTAAAATTATTTTAACACAATTAAAATAGTACTATTATTTGTGATTTGCACTAACTCACACTAACTTCATTTGCCGGTTAAAGGGTTAAGAGATTATCTTTTCTAAAGAATTTATCGCGAATTTTACTTGCAATTCTATTTTTAATTCATCTTTCTGATGTAAATATGAAATCCAAGAAAAGAAAAATGTTAATAGTCCTGTAGAACCTTAACCTCATTATTACTGTTATAAAAACAATCCACATTCCATAATTTTTTTTATCTTATTGAATTTTAAACGATCTTAAATGACTTATAATAGTAATCTAAGATTTATTATATTCTAATCATGGAATTCAGGAATTTCTATAAATGATTAAAATAATCTCAATTATTAGTAACTAAAAATTGACCTTTAACTGATCTACTTTTTAATTGTAACAATTTTAATTGTTTAATCAACAATTTATATAATCTGTAAAGTTCATCAGATTAAAGTAATTAATTAATTAATTATTTTATTTATTGAGATACATCATATAATCATTAAAAATAAAATAAATGATTTGGAATTTTTTGGCCAATCTTTAAAGTTAAATTTGTACCTACTTTAGTTTATATTTTTATGAAAATTAATTTTTTTCCAGTGGGTGGGTTCAATTGATATTAATGCAAATGACGAGGCCGATGATAATGTGCTTGTGAAGCTGGGACAATCATGGAAGGAGCAGGTGATAAAATTTGCAAATTAATCATTTTTATATTTTGAAATTAATTATTTTAATCAATTATTAATTACTATTATGTAATTAAATTTTTCTTAATTTTTGAAATTAATGAAATTTAAAATTTCAATGAACGAAATTTTGTTTCTATTCAAATGTTTTTCAGAAAAGAAAATAATTAAAATAGAATAAATAAAGAAAATAAATATAAAAAAGAAAATAAACATAAAAAAGAAAAATAGTTAAAATTAAACATTTACTTAGTTAAGAATAAATTTTTTAAAATAGAAAATAATATTTTTCTGTTATTAAAAAAAATTCAAATTAAAAGAGGGCAGAAAATATTATTCATTTGAACGTTCAAAACTTTAGGAAAATGTAATCAATTATTTTAAAGAATAGAATTTCAATTTAATTTAAAAAACAATCATTTTGATAGAATTTTTTTTGGAAAAAACCTGAGATAATATTTTTTTCTTTCAGCAAGAGGATATTTTAAATCAGGTGACAAAGTCTTTGAATGGAAGTAAAGTCGATGGAATAATTTGCGTCGCCGGTGGTTGGGCCGGTGGGAATGCGGCGAATAAAGATTTTATTAAAAATTGCGATTTAATGTGGAATCAAAGTGTCTGGAGTTCTTGCATTGCGGCGAATATTGCCTCTCAGCATTTGAAGGAAGGTGGATTTTTATCGTTAACAGGCGCTAAAGCCGCTTTAGAAGGAACACCAGGTAATTTAAGTAGTAAAAAATAATTAGTAATTATAATAATTAAATTATAATAATCAGTAATTTTTTCTTCTTTAGTATTTTTTTTCATCTTCAGTAATTTTTGACTTCATTAGTAATTCTTGTCATCTTTAGTAATTTTTGTCTTCATTAGTAATTCTTGTCATTTTTAGTATTTTTTGTCATCTTTTGGAAATTGGAAATTTATTCGAAAGAAAGACGATATTTATTTTTCAAAAACTAAAAAAAACTGTTAAATATTATTACGATCTGTAGAATAATTTTATTTTTCTATATTTATTCGTCAGTTTTAATTCATGAATTTTTTTTTAGGAATGATTGGCTATGGAATGGCTAAAGCGGCAGTTCATCAGCTTACGAAATCATTGGCGACCGATGGAAGTGGATTGCCTTCAGGAAGTCTCGTCGCTTCTATTTTACCGGTTACTTTAGACACCCCGATGAATAGAAAATGGATGCCAAAAGCCGACACAACGACCTGGACTCCTCTGGAATTTATTGCCAAGTTAGTAATTTTTATATTCGATTATTTGAATATTTAGTATTTATTATATATTTATTATAAATTTATTTTCCATATTCATAATGAAAACAATAATAATTATTAAAATAAATTAAATAATAAATAAATTAAATAATAAATAATTTAAATAATAAATAAATTAAAATAATTAAATAAATTTAATAATAAAATTAATTTTCTATTTATTAATTATTATTATTTTAATAATTACTTATCATTTATCACATAAATAATAATAAATTGCGCAATGATAATAATGATAGATTGGATTAATTTCAATGAATTTAATTTATACGCAGAACTTTAATTTGCTTTTCATCATTAACATTAATTTTTCTCCTAATTCCTAAAAATTTATAATCAATAATTATTTAATTCTCAACTGGGTGAAATTATGATGATTAAGAATTGTTTTATTATTTTTTTTCGTGCGCAGCTTGTTTTGGGAATGGTCACAAAATGAGAAACGACCATCTAATGGCAGTCTCTTGCAATTGGTAACGAAGGACAATAAAACTGAAGTGATTCCAGCATAAGAGAATAATTTCGAAAAAAGTTCAATCTCAACGATTACATCGCAATCGTGAGAATAAGAAACAAATGTTTTTACCTAAAGGAATCAAAATAATTAATTGTTTAAAGAAAATTAATAATTAATTGTTAAAAAAAACTTCCATCTAGTTGAAGAAATAATTGTTCTTTATTTTTCATTTGAAGAAATACTTCTTCACAATTTTCATGTATAAATTACATCATTGTTATATTGCAGTATTATTTTTAATTTTATTGTTAATTTACAGTGATTCTTTTTTTACACGATCAAAATCTCAAAACGAATCTCTTCTCTGTGCATTTGATTCGAATTTTATGTCTTTAAATAGAAATAAAAATAAATGTTAATATATTTAAATGGCATTTGGAAAAATTGTTCTCAATTAGCGTAAGAAAATTAATTTTTAAAAACAAACAAACCAAATAAATATTGAACCAAAGCATTTTTTTTGTCCAAAGGGAAGATTTTTTTTCTCTGAAAATTTAATTAATGAATCTATTAATAATTTTAGTTAATTTATTTTTATTATAATAAAAAAATATTTTTTTGTTTTGTAAATATGTTTTTTTAATTTTTTTTTAGTATATTTTTTACAAAACAAAGTTGTTTTGTAGGAAAAGAAAAAATTAGATTAGTAAAATTGTGATAATTTTTCTTTCTATTAATTTTGTAATTGGCGTTAGTTTATATAATTTGCCTAATAAATTGTGTGTTTATGCATATATAATTGACGACATAGAGCCGAAAGTATTTCAGGTGGACCAATCTTCATACATCTTAACTGTAAGACAGGTTGATGGACTTGGAAACTTTCTTGTTTGATCCCCACCATATTTATAAGAACAACTGGATCTTCTTGATGTGACAACAACCTTGGTTTGAGAATCCTATAGATCAGTCTTTAAAGTACTATCGAGAGACGAAGATTTTTTAACCACACTCATAAATCTACACGTAAGTTAATTTTCAATTCCCCGCCCATTAATTGTTCGTATTCACCAATTATAATTTTATTTGTCTTAAATTTTTTTACTTATCTCCAAAATTATCATTTGTTTATTGTCCGTTAATTTTGCCTTCATTTTATTTATTATCACTATCATATTTATAATTTATATTTTTTAAATTTAATTTCTATTTTTATTTATTTTTTCATTTTGTTTATTTTTTTTTGTATTTAATTTTATTTATTACTATTTTATTTATAATTACTAATTATTTTTTATTGATTAGTGTTATTATTTTCTTTATTATTGAATTAATATTTTATTTATTTTTATTATTATATTAAATTATTATTTATTCACAATAAATTATTAATTGTTGTTTATTTTGAATTACTTTGTTTTGTTTTTAATTTTATCGTTTTTCCAGATAAAAAATCGTTTCGTAAAAACGTCGATTTAAATTTAGTTGAAGCATATAAAATAAAAGGCATAATCAGAACAAGTGAACTTTGTACCGTATTGAACAATACTGATCTTATCGTTTGTGTAATGTTCCAAATTGATTCTTTCAATCAACACTATTTTCTATTTCTTGATAATCGTTTAATATATTAAATTTGGTTTTTATTTTCTTCCTAGTAATGAGAAAAAAATCCTCTAATCCTATGCTCTTGAAGTTACGATTCATTAACAACTAATTGCTATTTCAATGGAAGTATATAATATTCATTTTGCAAATAACTCCCTTCCGCTTCTTTTATAGCTCTGCCATTAATAATAATAGATCGAAATTAAAAAAAAAATCGAGAAAAAAACGAAGTTTGAAAAAATTAAAAAATAAAAATACGCAAAATTAGAAAATTAAAAAACTTGTTTTTTATTAATTGAATTTTTAATTATTGGAGAATTAAATAATTACTCGATGTAATTATAATGTAAATAGTATAAATAATTATTCTGCAAATTAATTAACAAAACTTAGTTAAAAATAAATTTCAAATTAAATAATAATTAAATTAGATTCTTTTTTCTAGTTTTTCCGCAAAAAGGATCTAATTTAATTATTTTTTGCAAAAAGTAGTTTTGAAATTGTGTACATTAAAATATTGATAAAAACAATCTTTTCTAAACAACTAATTGATAAACATATTTTATTTAAAAAAACAAACTTACAAAACAAAAAATTAATACAACATTTGAGAAAAATAAATTTCGAAAGCATTTTATTTTAAAAAACAAACTTACAAAATAAAAAGTTGATACAACATTTGAGAAAAATAAATTTCGAAAGCATTCGATTGAAGTAAATAATTTTGCAATTAAAAAATTTTCTAAGCAATAAATTGTGGCAACTATTGAGAAAAATTTAATGTACTTTGCACCAACTGAGGTCAACTAAGTATTGACCTTAAATAAATCGGCTAAAATAAATTAGTCTCATTCATGGTAAAAACTAAATATACTTTATTTTTAGACATTTTTTTCCTTTTGAATATTTTATATATTTTCCTCAAAACAAAAAAAGGAAATCAACAAGAAAATGTATTTTTTATAATTAACAATTTTTTGTGATTTAGAAAAAAAAAAAATAAATACTCAAAAAGAAAAAAATACGATTATAGTAAAAAAAAAATCCAAATATCGACCCAGTTCTAAATTTTTTGAATTGAATTCGATTATCAAATTCCTACAACATATTGTATGCTAATAAAACTAAATTGGTGTTTTAATTAAACTTCAATGCGGAAGCACGTGTCGATTTATAGAAAAAAGAAGGATTGTTTTTCTATAAATGTGTAATTTTATTTTTTTTCGAATTTGAAGGAGAGAAAAAGAAGTCGTCGTTTAAAATTGTTACTCGATTAATTGTTGCGTAAAACCCTTTTATAAGATAAAATATGTTTTGATAACCGAATCTATATTTCGAGGTAAATAAATCTGTATTTCTGTGAAGTGATATATATTTGTAAACCAATCTATTTGACCACTGATTCAGATTTTTTTTTACAGATTGCGTAACAATTTGTTTCATATTCTACCCTATCAGAAGTTATCGAGCAGTCGTCTTCAATTATTGTTGGAAGTGGGAACGAAATTTTTGATTCGTGTCAAATAGAATTTTCTACATACAAATTCACGGACAAAAAGAAGAAAGATGAATTCGATTATTAAAACAATTTCCCCCAAGGTATGTTTTTTTTTATCAAAAAAAGAAATTTTTCTATTTTTCCTATTTCGGGAAAAAAAAATCCAACCGAATAATATTAATTACTATTTACTTAAAATTTACTATCTTTTTTTTGTGTAAATTTTGTAAAATTCTTTATCTATTTCTCTGATTTATTTGCCAGTCACTGTATTTTAAAATTTAATTTAAAAAAAAATTAAAATTACAAATTTTTTGATAAAATCCAGAGGCAAAATTAAATTGTTGATATCATTTGTTCTTTTTATTTTTTTGATAAATGTCTTTTTTAATTGCCTTTCAAACACATTATTATTGGCTTTTAGATAACTAATTTATTCATAGTGAAAAAAAATTCCAAGAAAGCAATATATCATTTTATCGTCTTCAAAAGCCATAATTAATAGTCGATTTTTTATTAGTTTCTATTTATATTTATTTTTTAGTGTAAAAACAATTTAAATTTGAAATGTGTATTGGAGTGAATGCAAACCACTCCCACTTTCAATAAAATTAAACTCTATATATAAAAAGTAGAACAAAAAAAACAACCGAATTCAAAATAAAGAGAAAGTTTTGTAAATAAAAATAAAAAATGATTCTGTCTAGAAATAATACAAAAAAGAAAAAAATATTTTCGAAAATTTTAATTTTTAATGTTCAAAAATAAAAATATTTTCGCAAATTTTAATTTTTAATGTTCAAAAATAAAAAATTTTGAAGTATGTAATTTTGATAATTATCCAAACTGATAGCATTTTGATAGCATTTTCGAAATAAACGAAGAAATATATACACTGATTTCGAAACGCGATGTCTTTTACGTAAATAATTAAAAATTGAATTTTATTTTAAAGACATTATCATACTGTAAATGTTTTCATGTTCTGTCAATGATAATTAATTGCTATTTGCAGATATTGAGAAAATTAATGCACGGTTCACAGATGCATTTAACAGCATCTTTAAGTCAATGTCCTGGACCTTTGACCCAATTCACCGACGATGAAATTATGATGAGGGATTCGGGTAAGACTGCAAAAAAAAATTCAAAAAATTAAATTGTTTTTTCTGGATAATCATTCGATTGTAATCTATTTTATATTGTTTATCTAACAACTGTTTTACATCTTTATTGTTATTACTATTATTATTGTTATTTTTAATTTCTATTACAATTTTTATTATTTTCTTTTTAAATTTGTATTACTATTTTTATTATTATTTTTGTTTTAAATTTTTATGACTATTTTTATTATTAATATTTTGTTTTATTTTTACTATTACAATTTATATCCAAAAATATGTGAATAGAAAAAATATTCTTTTTATTTTTATTTATAGAAGTATAGAAATAATTTTATTTATTTTTTCAAATTCACTGGATAAATTATTATATAATAGAAATAATTTATATTTATTTATCATATACAATTTCTTGCAGTTGCAAAATTGAGTAAAGAACAAATTGAGCCGCTCGTGAAGAAAATGGAAAAAGAGGGAAAACTTGATGATAAACTTGTGAAAACGATATTTGAAAATGGGGTAAAAAGAAATTGAATAAAATAGCATTGTAAATTTAAAACAAAAAAAAACTGATTGTTTATTGTGATTTTAAATTTACAGTTAATGGGAATGCAAGTGCCAGCGGAATATGGAGGCACTGAGAGTTCATTTATGTCGACAATTTTGGCTGTCGAGGAATTAGCAAAAGTCGATGGAGCTGTTGCGGCATTTGTTGATATTCACAATACTCTAGTCAATTCATTAGTTATAAAAGTGGCTTCACATGAACAGAAACTCAAATATTTAACGAGATTAGCACAAACTGATGTAAGTCACAAAAAAGTGATCATTATTTTTTTTATTCTTACGAAAAATTTGTTCCTTTTTCTAAAGAAAAAAAAAATTAACTGAATAATTTTTGTTGTAAGGACAATTTTTTGAATTGTTATTTAAATAGGAACAACTTTTTAAGTACCTAGTAATTTTTTAAATCAGAACAATTTTGTGAATAGTAATTTTTTAAAGAAGAATATTTTTTTGAATAATAATTTTTTAAACAGCTATTTTTTGAATAATAATAATTTTTTAAATAATAATAATACCCTTTTAAACAAAAATAATTTCTTAATTAAATAAAATAAGATTTAAAATTTTTCAGGTTGGAAGTTTTTGTTTAACAGAACCTGGTTCGGGATCAGATGCATTTTCTCTAAAGACTGTCGCGAAAAAAGATGGAAAAGATTACGTATTAAATGGATCGAAAATGTGGATATCAAATTCTGATATCGCTGGAATTTTTGTTGTATTTGTCAACGCTAGTCCATCTGATGTAAGTTTTTCTCTTTTTTTTCATAATAATTTACTTGTTTTCTAAAAAATTTGCTTATTCAGGGTTGCCACAGGTCAGGGAATTCAAAATTTTTTTTAAATTCTCGTAAAAATTTTAATTATCTTTAAAAATAATAAAATGCTTCTTCGAATTCCAATTATTTTCAAAAATTTTAATAAAATTCTTTGCAAAATTTCAATTATTTTCAAAAAATTTTCCTCAATCCAATGATTTTCAATATCTACTATTTTAATAAAATTTTTCAAAAGAATTTAATTATTTAAAAAAAAATGCTGATAAAATTCTAAGCAAACATTAAATTATTTTCATAAATAATAAAATTTTCACAGGAATTCAACTATTACAAATTTTTTATAAATTTTTTCGCAATAATTCAGTAATATAATTAATTAATTAATTCATAAATAATAACATTTTTACAAAAATTCAATTATTTTAATGAATAATAAAACTCATCATAGAATTTCAATTATTTTTAATACAATTGTAATTGAATTCCTCGAAAATTTTAATTATTCTTAAAAATTCCATTAAAATTCCTCGAAAAAAATCAATTTTGTTGATAAAATTCTTTATGATAATTCAATTTTGAGAAACATTCATTTATTTAATAAATTATTTATTTTTGTATTTAAATAATTGAATTCTCGTAGAATTTTCCAATAAAAATTGATTTAAAAATAAATATCAGTTAAAATTTTAGATAATAATTGAATATTAAAAGCATTATAGCATGAATTTTTAAAAATAATTGATAATTGATTTCTTTCGAAGAATTTTAATAACATTTTTGAAAATAATTACATTTTTCAAAGGATTTACTTAAAATTTTATTAAAAATAATTGAAATCCTGTGAAGAATTTTATTAATTCATGACAGTAATTGAATTCTTGCAATAAATTTTTTCAAATTTTTTTTTAAATAATTGAAATAATGTAAAGAACCTTATTATTTATGAAAATAATTGAATTCCTGCAACGAATTTTATTACATTTTTTTCAATTAATTGAATTCTTTTGAGAACTTTTATTAAAATAGTAAATTTTTAAAATATTTGAATTTCAACGAAGAATTTTATTATATTCGTGAAATGCAATTAAATTTTTGCAAAAAATTTAAGAAAATAATTCTATTTTTCTAGAAATTTACTTTAAATTGTATTATAAATAATTGAAATCCTCAGAAAAATTTTATAATTTTTGAGAATAATAGAATTCTTACAACATACGAATTTTATCAATTTTTTTTTAAATAATTGAATTCATGTGAAAAATTTTATTACTTGTTAAAATAATTGATTTCCTAGCAACGAATTTGATTACATTTTATTTAAATAATTAAATTATTTTGAGAACTTTTATTAAAATAGTAAATTTTGAAAATTTTTGAAAATAATTACATTTTTCGAGAAATTTATTTTAAATTGTATTAAAAATAATTGAAACCCTGTGAAGAATTTAATTGTTTATGAAAATAATTGAATTCTTGCAACGAATTTTATTATAATTTTTGTAAATAATTAATTTTTTTTTTTTTTGAAAAGTTTTATGGAAATTTAAATTTTTATAAAACATAAAGATACCAATTACTCCAAGTCAAAAACTCGGAGTGATTGATATCTTCATGTTATATAATAATATTCTTATAAGTTGTTGAATTTTAAAAATGTTTGAATTTGAATGTTTTGAAGAATTTTAATTCCTGTGGAAAAATAATAATTTAAATACTTATTTAAAAATTTAGTTATTGATGTTTGTGAATAATTTTACAATTTAAAAAATTCGTAAGTAAATGTAATAGAATGTTTTTTGAGTATCTAATAATTTTTAGAATGAATCAGAATATTCTTTAGAGTCAGGGAAAAAGTCAAAATTATTTTGTAATCGTAAAAAAAGACAACAAAAGAAAAAATAAATAATAGACAAAATAAATTTTTTCCATCAGGGATACAGAGGAATCACCGCATTTATAATGGACAGCAATTCACCAGGTGTCACTGTTGCCAAACCTGAAGATAAATTGGGTATAAAAGCGTCGGGAACTTGTATGATTCACTTTGAAAACGTCAGGGTAAGGAGATTTTTTTACATTTAGGAAATAATTACATATTATTTGTTATTTTAGTTTTCCGTTCAATTTTAATTGTTAATTCAATTTTAGTTTTAAATAGGTTTAGTTTTCAATTCAATTTTAAATTTAGTTCTTAATTTAATTTCAATTTAGCCTTTTGATTTAATTTGAAAAACTAATTTACAATAAAAATATTCTTGATATCACGATTTATTAAAAATTATTTTTCTGCTTTCTGCAGGTTCCAGAAGAAAATATATTAGGGGAATTCGGAAAGGGCTATAAATATGCGGCGGGATTTTTAAATGAGGGGCGAATTGGAATTGGAGCGCAAATGATTGGAATTGCTCAGGGTTGTTTGGATGCAACGATTCCTTATACACTGGAGCGAAAACAATTTGGAAACGACATCTTTTCATTCCAATCGATGCAACATCAAATCGCCCAGGTCGCCACCGAATTAGAATGCGCAAGATTATTAGTTTATAATGCTGCAAGAATGGTTGATGCCGAGCAAGATGTTATGAAAGAAGCAGCGATGGCAAAATTATTCGCATCAGGTATTTTTCCAATTATTTATTCTCCAGTCATTTCTCTTGAATTGTTTTCAAAATATCTAAAAAAAATTTTTAATTTTTTTTTGTAGTTTCTACGTAAATTTAATGCTATAAAAAATATTATTTTGTCTCTTGCTCTCAAGTCACAACAAAGACGAAAATTATTCTCTAAATATTTCATTTTCAGGTGATAACTATTTTCCAATTTTTATTCTTCAAAACAAATTTCTTTTTAAAATTATTTTTCAATATTCAAAAAATTTAATTTAATTTTTAATTTAATTTAATTAAATTTAATATTTTATTTAAATTTAATATTCAATTTATTTTATTTTATTTTATTTTAATTTAATATTCAAAAGTCAAACATCTTTTCTTTAGCAAATATTCTACATTTCTTACGTTTTTATTATCGTCTTCCAGAAATTGCATTGAAAGTGACAGCGAAATGTATAGACTTTATGGGTGGAGTTGGATTTACAACGGATTTCCCCCAGGAAAAATTCTTTAGAGATTGTAAAATTGGAACAATCTATGAGGGCACAAGTAATATGCAATTGTCAACCATTGCAAAATGTATTCGAAAGCATTATTCCTAAATTTCCAATTACAAATTATTCTCTGCGCAATAATTGAAAATCTTCTCGATGAGAATTTTTTTTTTATCGGGCACATTATCAGCCATCGAAACAAAAGTATTATTTAAAAAAAAAACATTCCTAGACTTGGTGATAATTAAATTATCGTCAGAAACAAAAAAAAATATCGATGATAAAATATTTTTTCAATAAAATTTTTAATTAGTTTTAACAAATTTTTAATGACAAAAATTAATAATTAATAATTATTAATTAAAATTAATAAATATTAATAATAATAATAAAAATGATAATAATAAACATAATAATAATTAAAAAATAATGTTTCTTTTTAATAGAATTTCAAAAAAGTACTAGAAAAAAAATAATTTAATTTGTATTAATTAACTTCAATTTTCTACTTTTATTTTATTGTATTAAAAATTTTAATTTTGATCTATCGGTAAATTTCATGTTAAATTAAATTAAAAAATTATAAATTCATTACATTCTGGAAAATTTATACTTTTATTTTATTAAATTAAATATTAAAATTTTGTTCTATCGTTAAAATTTGTTGTTTATTCAAGTGGATAGAAATGATTTCAATTTCCCTAAAAAATATCAAGTGCGTATTAATTTACTATAAATCAACGTTCTATTGATTTAATAAAAATGTTAATTCGTGAGCAAGATAACACTGTTTAAATATTTAATTTGAATTACAAATATCGAAAACTAACGCAACTATTTAATATAAAGAATAAAAAGTTAGAATAAATTTCTTTTAATAAAAGAATTTATTTTCGTTATAAAAAATTAGTTTTTAATTTCAAATTAAATTGTATGAAAAATAAATTTATTTTACATACAAAATTTATCGATATGCTAATATATAATAAAACGAGTCACTAATAATAATTTTTTACGTTTTAATTCTAATGTAAATTAGATTTCTTTTGGTGTGAAAAAAATTTGCATTTTAATTTTTACATTTCTTTTCAATTTCTTTGAATTGATAATTTAAATTGATTTTGGGAAAAATTACCTCTTTAGTTTTAGTTTCCATTTTGGTTATTTTCCGTTGATTCTGTAGGTTTTGGTTCTGGGTAGTCAGGGGTTTCTTCTGGTACAAAAGGTTTTGCTGCTGGTTTCTTTTTTGGTTCATTAGGTTGTAATTTTGATACTTCCTGATTTTTTGGTGGTTCTTTAGTTTGTAATTCTGGTTTGGTAGGTGGTAATTCTGTCACTTCTGGTTGATTAGTTTGTAATTCTGGTTCATTGGGTTCAACTTTTGGTACCACAGGTTTTTTTGGTTGTTCAGTTGTTTGTGATTCTGGTGCATCAGGTAGAACAACAGGACGTGTCGTTATTTCAGGTTTTACCGTAGTTGAAGTTTTATTCTTCGAATCTGAAAAATATTGAAACTTATTTTACAGAAAATTGGGTAAAAATTGAAAAATTTCCACATTTAAAATATTTTTAACAACTATTGAATAATCAATTAGCGAAAAATAGAAAATTACAATACCTGGACACAGGAAGAATTTTACGAATGAATCAAAAAAGGTTTCATAATCGTCATCATCATCATCATCATCATCTTCATCATCAAAAGCATTAAGAAAGTCATCCAAATAGTCAGTTTCCTCATCATTCGCTTTGTCAGAATTGAAAACAGTCGGTAAAGCTTTACCTCCACAAAACAAAAATACAGAGATACAAAGAATAATTGTAAGTTTCATTTTTTAATTTTTTATTCTCTCAAAACAGGAGAAAGAAAATAGTCGATGTTTATGAATAAAGAACTATTCGGCGTATGTTCCGGAAATTATTTCATTTACTCTTTTTAAATATCTTCACTGTTTACTTTTAGTGTCAATGAATTCAAGGCGATGATTTTTTTATTGATTTTTAATATTTACTTAAGTTTTGAACATTATACGAAATAATGTAAATTCGATTTTTATATGAAAAATTAACTTTTTCTGCTGTTTTTAGAGTGGAATTACAGACTCATACCCGCACACACTTGCGATTAAATTAAACATATCTGCGTCCTGATTAGTTTAAGAGCCGTATTTGTACAAAAATTCAAGGATGTAAATAAAATAATTTAATGGAATATTTTTCGATAAACAACTACTGAAAAAATACGCGTAATTCTATACGCATTTAAAATGAATCATGAAATTATCTTTTCTTTTCTCTACCTATTTTACACACGTGTACATTTGAAATACACCTGTTCAAAAATTTTAAAAAAATTCTCTATTTAGAAGAAAAACTTCTTTTTGAAAATTTTTAAATATTTCTCTTTATTATAATTTATAGATAATTTAATTGAAAAAAGTTTAAATAAAAAAAATTGGTGAACGGATTTATTTGAGTATAAAAAGAAAGCAAATAATTAACTTTAAGACGATTTCAGATACGAAAAAATATAAATTTTATTCGGATTTAAATTGTTTTTCATTCTGCTTAAATTCTAACAGAATATAATAATATTAATATAATAATAATAATAGTAATAATAATAATAATTAATATAATAATTGTTAATTGGCCAACCATCGTGATAAGTAAATATTTTGTAACACAGAATAAAAAAATTAATAAAAATTTACGATGGTTCTCTAGAATACAACAGAGTATGTACAATATTAGTTTATGTACAAAATTGAAGGATAATTAAATTCTAATTTCTATATCCAGCAACGTTTAACAATAAAATTTTCGAAATAATTTTCTTTTTTCAATCCAGCTGCTTTTTTTTACTTTAAGCTTAATCTATTCATCGACGTATTTTCAGTCTTGTATTCCAAAATAAATACTATTTTTTTTTAACAACGCCAATCATCACATTTTTTTCATTTTGCCTGAATAGACGAAGAGATGTTTTACATTTGCAGAATTTTTTTTTTTGTAATTTTTAAAAAGCGCAGAATTAAAACAACTTTCTCCATTCTTTTACATTTTGCAGACTGATTAAAAAAATGAGTTTTTTTTCTTATTTCTTTATAATCTAAATGTTTAAAATTCTCTATTTTTTTCTTATTAGTTTAAATTATGAAATTATAATATATATATTTATATAAATATCTACATTGAAGAGTGATGAAATTATATATTTACACGTTTATCAATTAAATGAATTGTGGATATATTTTCTTTGATATTAAATTGTAATGGCAAAGGCAAATATTAACGAAGAAGTTTATTTTTTTATGAATATTTGAATTGGAAGCAAAAATATTAATAAGCTAAGGAGAATTCAAAATTTTTTTAAAATATTCGAATTTGAATGTTTATTTATCGAAATAAAGGAAATTGAGTATTGCTTTATAAATATTACTTGGAAACGAAATTACCTTTAGAAATCAATTGATTTGGAATCAATTGGTTTGGAATTAATTGATTTAGAATCAATTTGAGAATTAATAAATCTTTTTTTTTAATTAGGTAACTGAAATTTGATAAATTTTAGTGATTGTCGAGTGTGTCTGAAGTTTTTCTCTTTCCGTATTTTTATAATGTTTTTTCGCCTAAGTTTATCATTTTTTTTATAGAAAACAAACACAATCACTCTGTTATAAAATAGGCACATGTTTTTTTTCTTTAGGTAATTAATGGAATTTTTCATCGAAACACTAAATTGTTCATTTGAATGAAATAGGAAAAATGTTTCAAGAACATAATTTGGCAAATATAACTTTAGATTTTAAAGACTAAATAATAAATAATTGACATTAAGCTTGTCAGTTTACTGTAAAACATTAATTTATGCTCAGACATTATCTAATCAATGTATTATAATTAGCACCATATTCCAATAATTTAATAAAAATTATGGAAAACAATTTCTTTTCTTCATAGAAAGGGAATATCACTGAAAAATTTACTAAGTAAAAGAAAAATAGTCTGGCGTTAATTTAAAACTTGAGTTGAACAAATTACTTTCTTCATTTAATTTCTAGAATTCGATGCGTAAGAGAAAAAATTTTCGTGATATATTGCAACAATTTTGAGTCCATCTAGTCAATAAAAAAAAATCCTATGTACAAATCGTTTTTTTACAAATACAAAAAATTGTCCATGTCAAGAAATTAAATTTTTTGAATGGACAATTACTTTTAAAGTTGCCATTTTTTCTTTTTCTTGAGCAAAATTTAAAATCAAAAAGAAAATCTTAATTTTGTCACTTTCATTGACAAATTCAAGTCCATGAATTTTAAATTAAAAATATTTCTACATACTTACAGCGTTTGAAATATGCCAACAATTTTTTTTTTTGTTCGGTATATTACACTTTTCGAGCACCAAATAAATTTGCAAACTTGCAATAATTGCAATAATTGCAAAAGAGAAAAGGGAATAGAAAGTAAATTTTTGTGTCTGTATTAATTAGACTGATTGAAAATTTAAGTAGTTGAGCCAGATTAATCAATCGGGCATGTCTATGGAGACTATAGGCACTACGGGCTTTGTTAGGTCGATTTTCTTGATGTGTTTTTCACTTTTTTCTGAAACCATCGGCTCGGACGGCGGTTGATCATTATCATTTCGTGATTGATAAGAAATATTGCCATACTCTTGAAGCAATGGACATAGGCCCAAAAGAAAGTGGCAAAAATCTTTTCTTATTCCAAACCACCCTGAAAAAAATGTTAATTCAAACATTGATAATTAATTCCATTATTAATAGTAAATTGAAAATTATTGATCAAAGAAATCGATTAATTGAATTAAAATTACAAGAATCGAATGTTTCTTTTTTTTTAAATTAAGACTGAATTGAAACAAGATTTTAGTTTTTTTAATTAAATTGTAATAGTTACACTTATTTCCTCCTTTTGCTCCAAAAGACATACAAATGAGTGTCATGTAAGAAAATATCAATGGCGTCGCTACTGTTGTGTAATGCAATGAAATATCACCATCGAGTTTATTCGCCAGTAGAACCTAAATATAAAAATAGGATAGAAATTAGTAGAAATAAAATAGAATACAATAAAATAAATAGAATAAACAAAATAATAATATTAATCATGAAATAATACGAATTACTTACTTGAAAGACTAAAATGGGCACTACGAGAAAAGTGTATGCAATAGCAGAATTTAACGATGTACGTCTTTGACGTGCGTTAATTTGTGGTGTTCTTAATAAAACGGCAGCAAATACAATAGCATATAAAACAGCAACTAGCGATAAACACAATAAAGCCCAAAGGGGCACGAACACAACCTCCCAGCTCCAAGTAATAAAATTATCCAGTCTCAATGCCAGGAAAATAAATTGTAGTACATTGACTGCACAAAAAAGTTCGAGCTCAAAGGAACGATCATGTTTCACAGCCCAAATGCATACCTGAAAAATTTATTTTTCTCATCAATTTTTCTTTTATGGAATGAAAAAAAAACTCTATGGAATAACAGACTTCGCACTCGATAATTAATTTTAAAAAAAGTAGCAAAAAGACTGCTTTTTGCTACTTTCAAACTTAAAAAAGTAGTAAAACAGTAGCTATCGAAAAATTAAACTTGACGACTATAAAAAACTCGTTTTAAACACTTCACAAAACTGCCAAAAATTCCATTCTATATTTTATTTTCCTAACTTTTTTCTAATTTTCATCAAAAATATTATTTATTACTTTCTTATCCTGCTAATAAATTGAATTCCCGCTACGAATTTTATTATTCATGAAATAATTTAAATATTTATAAAAATAATTTAATTCTTGCGAGAAGAATTTTATAAAAATTTTTAAATAGTTGTTTTCTTTCGGCTAACTTTATGTAAATTCTAATAAATATAAACAAAAAATATTGAGGAATATAAACAAAAAAAGAGATAAAGAATTATAAATATAGAGAAATATAAGTAAATATAAATATAATTAATATAAACTTAGATATAAATAAATAGAAATATTAAGAAACAATTTTTCCTAAAATTGGAATACTCACAGCTATAGATACAATGGAGATGAAAATCAATGGTATGAAAACAAGTATCCACAAGTGTCTTTCTGATTCTAATTTGTCGCACACTAATAATTCGAACATTAATAAAATTAAATGCAATGCGAGAGTAATCAACATTGCTTTATAATGTACATAGGCATCTCCTTCTAATCTCGCGTGTGGATGTCTCCACCAAACATAACTTCCAACTGTTGCTCCCAAAATTACCATACTTTTCCAAAACCATATTGGACTGAAAACTGACCAATAACTCCATTCTATGTAGCCATCAAGTCGCAAAGCAAACAATAATGTAAATATCATTAGACACGTATGTACTAAAAATTTGCTGAAAAAGAAAATAAAAACTGTCAATAAAAATTAAGACAACAGTTGCAATCGCAAATAAATTAGAAATCTATTTATAAATTTCGAATAATTATAATCATTCTTTCCATTTAGTAACTATTTATTAGTTTATATTATCGAATTCGTTATATTATTCTTAATTTATATCATTATTAGTTTATATAATATATAATTATCAGTTTATATAATTAGTTTACATAATTATTAATAGTAACAAATTAACTTCCTACCAAAAAAGAACAACAAATTTTTTATAACCTTAAAATGCAAACTAGTTTTTTTTTCTAGAAAAAATATTTAAAAAATAACACATCATTGTTAAGTATTAAATATATAAATCAAACAGAAAAAAAACAACCGATCCTGAAATAATGAGATATAAAGAATTCTCACAGGTTCTATTTATAAATTCGTTTTGTTAACAAAAGAATGTTATTTCAAGAATGGTATTTTTTTCATGCTCAGTTCCTCGCGATTATTAATAAACAATATCAATGTCATTGTTATGATAAAATAATACAAAAATTTAATTGAAAACTGCGATACCTTGGATTAAAATCTTGAAAGAGTGTTTGAAGATTCATGTTAATTAAGGTCAGATGAATAATTTTCTTTTTTTCACACCCCGAAGAGTGGTAAACTTTTTTTTTCTCTCACTTTTATTTCATTGAAAGCGTCAAGCTAGCGTTTATTTTTCACACAACTCATTGTGGAAAATCACAATCCACAATTTATTCTTTAACAATTAAAAAAAAAACAGTTATTTTTTCACCATCGTTTGCAAAAAAAATGCAAGTGTATAACATCACACACAGTGAAGTTGTCACTATCTTCCAGTTTTCGATGTTTTTAAATCGAATCTATCGATTTTTGAATGAGAAAATTTTTAAATTCTTAAAATTATTGTAAATTATTGAAATGTTGATAAAATAGATATATACCAAAGGTATAGAATGAATCGAAAAGGAAATAAAATTATTAAATTAATTTATTACTTATTTTTCCTTGGATAATTATTTCCCGCTTTTCAAAACTTCGATTTTTCTTGTACGCCTGCGCAATGATTGTTCGCGGCTATGTTCAGTGTGTAACACACTCACATTTGCTCCACATTTGCTCACACCGAATCATTATAGTAAATTTACGAATATGTGGGTGTAGTAGTGAAATTAAAAGTTATAAACATATAAAACAATGAATATTAAAACAAAAATACAATTGAAAACAGTTAGAGGTGTATAATTAGAGTTACACGATGTGAATTAATTAACCGATCTGCAAGTGCTTTCCATTATCTTTAAAAATGTTGCTTTTCTCTATTTTTTCAATATAATTTCTATTTATCAATATCTGATAATTGAACATTATTCTTATTTGAAAGGAATGAAATTCTTTAAATAAGTCACAGAGTTTACATGCCAAATATAATGATTGTACTTTATTTTTTACAGTTTCTATTCAATTTATCGATGAGTGTCAAAGCTCTGTTTATTAATCATCAAAAATAGTTTAAAGAGATTTAAAGAATTTCTTATCGCAATATACATTTCCAATGACTGATGTTTATAATTACTTGCTCGTGTAGTAACTTAAAAAATCACTGTTTATCTATTTCGTATATTTCAAAACAATTCAAAACTCTGAAATTGATATGAATATATAATATAGGTTATGTTTTGATATTTTGATTGTTTGGAATTTGGAACTTGGAAAAATGTTATTTTATTCTTGTAACGAGAGTTTGTAGTTGGTTTTTTAATTTTTCTCTCTCACGAGTAAAGTTTATTTTAATCTATATTTAGAATTTAATATTAACGATATTAACTGAAATTGGGAATGAAAATCTAAAGGTTCTATAGTAATTTCGGTAAATTTTAATTTACTTTTAATTTTAGTAATTGCTGTGATTTTTAATAATTTTTCCATTTTCACTGTTAATTAAGAAGTACCATCATAATAATGTGACATAAATAAATTTCGTGACTTTGCGTTTTATCTATATTCGAAAAACAATAAATGACTAGCAAATGTTTTTTTTCAAGGATTTAAAGAACTACTTTTCTCGATTATTATTCCATTGTTTTCATTTCAATTCATTTGGTTTTATTCTCATCTTTTATAAATATTTTTTATTTATTTTTTTTACTTATTTTCTTATTTATTTATATTTGTTTTGTATTTTTTATTTATATTATTTTCTATCCATTTATTTATTTTTTTGTTTTTTATTTCTTCATTACCTATTTAAGTTTGAATTGAATTTCTTACATTAAATTTTTTGATTTCAGGTATAAATGTGGATGATCAAGATTAATTTAGTTAACTAGAATAAAATAATCCATCATGGAGGAGACATTTTACAATTCAACACCTCCATTATTTTCTAAAATTGCTCCAGCTTACTGGAATTATTCGGATCATGTTATGCTGGACGACATCAAAGTGGACAGCAACTTTATTTGGTTGCTATGTTCATTGGTGTCAGCAATATCCTGGGTTATTTATATAACTTATTATAATAGTCGAGTTATCGGTTATATCATAACGAGATTATTGAACCGATTTGTGATAAGAGATGGCTACGTTAAAGTTGGTAAGTTAAAAATTTAATTTTCTCTTCGAAAAGAAAAACTTATTTTCTATCAAAAATATTTTATTAATATAAAATTTGTAATTAATAGGGATGCCACAGGTCAGGGAATTCAGGAAAAAGTCAGGGATTTTTATTAAAAGTAGTGGAAAAAATTAAATTTTTGAAATTCATAACATAATTCTGAATTTTTAGTGTCTTTTTGTTTGACTCATAAACTATCAAACTACCACGAATTCCAATACAAAAACTTCAAAATTTTTTTCCATTTCTGACCAGAATTAATTTTTTAATATTATTTAATTATTTCCAAAGTTTTAATGCAATTATCTTGATAAATAACAAGATTCTTCACATAGATTCAAATATTTTTAGGAATTTAAAAAAAAATTCTTTGCAAAATTCAATTATTTTCATAAATAACAAAATTCATCACAAGAATTCAATTATTTTCAAAAGTAATAAAATTCTTCGAAAAAATTCAATTATTTTTAAAAATTTTAACAAATATTTCGTCAAGAATTCAATTATCTTTATAAATAGCAAAATTTTTCGCCAAATATTAAATTATTTTCAAAAAATTTAAATAAAATTCTTTGCAAAATTTCAATTATTTTTAAAAGTTTTTCTCATTTCAATAATTTTCAATATTCACTATTTTCAAAAAGTTTAACAAAGATTTAATTATTGAAAAAAATTTTTTGATACAATTCTACGAAAATATTCAATTATTTTCATAAATAATAAAATTTCATTTAGGAATTCAATTATTTTCACGACAGGATTTTAAATATTTTTAATGCAATTTTAAATAAATTAGGTACTCGAAACATGCAGGTATTCTTAAAAATTTTATTAAAAACTTGATGAAAGAATTCAAATTTAAGAAATATTCAATTATTCAATAAAATAATAAAATTCGTTGCAATAATTCAATTATTTTCAAAAAATTTTTAAGCAATTCTGCAAAAGAATTCTATTATCTTGTTAAACAACAAAATTTGCCTCATAAAATCAAATATTTAAAGGAATTTTAATCAAATTCTTTTCCAAAATTCAATTATTTTCATAAATATCAAAATTTATCACAAGAATTCAAATTTTTTGAAAAGTAATAAAATACTTTGCAGAAATTAAATTATTTTCAAAATTTTTGGAAAATTCTCGTTAATAATTAAATTATCTTTATAAATAGGTAGCGAAATTCTTCCCAAGAATTAAATTATTGTCAAAAATTTTAATAAACTTCTTGTCAAAATTTCAATTATTTAAACAAAATTTGATCAAATTCATCGCATGAATTCAATTGTTTTCAAAAATTATTATTTAAATTCTTCTCAGGAATTCAATTATTTTTAAAAATTTTAATAAAATTCTTCAAAAAGTTTTTAATTATTTTCAAAAATTGGTATAAAATTCAATTACTGAATAAATTATTTTTTTTTATTTAAATAATTTAATTTTTGTAGGATTTTCTAATAAAAATTGATTTAAAAATGAATTTCGGTTAAAATTTTAGTTAATAATAATTTAATATTAAAAAAATTATAGCATGGATTTTTAGAAATAATTAAATTTTGAAAAGGTTTCAAATTCAAATCTTTGGGAATCTAAATTTTTCGTTCTTTTAAATAATAATTGATTTAAAGAAGAATTTTGGTTCAAAATTCTAGAAAATAATAATTAAATTTAAATGATGAAAATAATTTCGAAGAATTTTTAGGAGTAACAATATTTTTATATAAAATAATAATTTTATCCCTGGGTTATTATCGTTAATTATTATAAAAACATGAAGAAGTCGATTAGTCCGAGTCAAAGCTTCTAGTCATTTTTAGAGTGAATCAGAATATTCTTTAGTGTTAGGGAAAAAGTCAAAATTCTGTCTGGAAATCAGGGAAAAACAAAGTTAAATTTTTTGTGGCAACCCTGATTAAATTTGTGAATTTAATTTAATTTATGCATTTTTTCTAGGATCATTTACGTTATGCGCATTAAGTGGAAAAATAATGTTTAGAGATATAGCTTACACTACGACTGATTATAGTTTAAGAATTCAGGATGGATGGTTAATTTTTCGATGGTGGAGAAGCTACATTCCAAAAGATATTTCCGAAGGTGATTTTCTTTTTATTTTCTTTTCTTCTTTTTTAAATTTAAAAATTGTCTAAAAATAAAAATTATTATTTATTATTATTAATTTTCAGATCTATCGCACTCTGACACTCGTTTATCCGTCTTATTAAATGGCTTTGAACTTCACGTTTACAATCGCTGTCAAATGTACGCACAATTAGAAAAAGCTTTCGGCCTAACGCCGCAAATGTTTCAAGACATTGAAATACATAATGTAAATATTGATGATCGCGACGCAGAGTCAATAAGCAATGCCGCAAATGAAACGCGACAACAAATTAATGCAATGGACGTTTCAAGGCACGTTGATAATATAAGAAAACAAGAGGCCCACGTGATCGCCCGAACGTGGCGGGATCTTATTCCGGTTATTAAATTAGATATTTGCACTGTAAGTCAATTTTCTATTTTTTAGACTACTTTCTATATTTTTTATTTTCATTCAGATTTTTGTCAAATATTGAAAATAATTTTGTGGAATTTCGTTTTTTTTCAGGGACGATTAGTATTTGGTAATCGATTAGTACCCACGACACTTTCAATAACAGTTGAAGAGGCGCATTTTGTCTATTCGACAAAACCAGCAGCATCGCGTCACGATCACTTTATGCATTTCACAAAATGCAAAGCGGAAAATTTCAAAGTTATCTTAGCACCAAGTCCCAAATACACAGGAATGCTGGACGATCCCCCAAGATATATGGGAGAGGGTTTTGTTGTTTTAAGTTCAAATAATATAGAATTTTATTATTATATGGATGAACCGGGATTTGTTCCCGATCATCCCGAGATGATAAGATTGGCAAACGGTGACATGGTCGAGGCAATGCCGCCAATTTGGGGCATTGACATCAAGTGCGGTGAGATTTTTCGATTTTTAATTAGATAAATTTAGCGGTAAATACAAAATTTACCAGTAATTACAAAATTTAGAGGTAAATATAAAATTTACTCTAAAGAAATAAATTTAATAAATAGGAAAGGAAAGAAATAAATTTACGGTAAATAATTATTTCAGGTAAAGGAACGGACTTCAGTTACGGTCCGTGGGCCGATAGGCAGAGAGAACATTTGTTTAAATTCTTCTATCCAAATGATTATCAACATTTAAAGGTGACAAAATCACCCGTCCCGGGCGAAAAGCGGCAGGTACAATCGTTTGATATTCGTCTCTCGACATTAAATGAGGCGACGATCGATATATTATTTAGTAAAAATCGCGAGACAAATGCAGTGCACGTGAATGTTGGCGCTGGTTCTTATTTGGAAATAACAATGCCATGGATTGTTCTACAAGATGGTTTCACGACAAAAATCACAGGACAATTATTACATCTCGAGGCAACGACCAGTCTTCAATATCGCAGTTTAGTTGAAAGTGAAACATTGGAATTCAGTGTCAAGTGTCATTATCCAATTAAATGGAACGATCATCAAGAGTGGTCTCTAAATTTAACCGGTTGTAAAGCAACTGCAAATCTAGTCTACTCGCACAAAGAATTTTTTCAGGTAACTTCAATTATTTAAAATAATAATTGTTGTATTCCGAACGTTTTAATCGTAGTTTGAAGTTAGTTTTTGTTTCCTTTTTTTCAACTTTTTAAATAATTTTTCTTTTTAAATGTTTTTAATTTTTAAATTTATATATTGAAAATGCATAATATCTTATAAAACTTTTTATAACAATTTTTTTGAAAATAATTAGCTTCTTTTGAAGAATTTTATTATTTATAAAAATAATTGAATTCATGTGAAGAATTTTATTCAAATTTTTGAAAATAATTCAATTTTCTTGTTTTGAAAAATTTCTTTGGATTGTTTGAAAGTAATAGAGCTTTTTCAATACTTTTAATTGAAAAATTTTGAAAGTAGGTAATTGAATTTTACGATAAATTTTTTTCAAGATTTCAAACAAATCATGTTTGTTGATAATTGTAATGAAAAAATTGATTATTCAAATTTATTAAAATTTTTAGAAAATAATTGAATTTTTTTGAGAAATTTTATCAAAGGTTGTTTTGGAAGTAATTGAATTCCAGAAAAGAATTTTATTATTTATAAAAATAAATGAATGTTTGCGAAGAATGATATTAAAATTGCGAAAATACTTGTATTTTTTCTTTGAAAAATTAATAATTAGTAAATAATAATTGCACCAGATTGCACAGAATAATTTATTAGTTAACCACGTTTCGGGCGTAATATTTATTATTAGTTATTAATAATTTCAATCACTATTTCAAAAATTTTATTATTCCTTTCATAATTTTATAATTTAACAATAAATTTTCCTTTTCCAGGATATGATTAACGACTGGGCAAGTAAAGCGAGACCGGATATTCTACATTTTGTGCCATATACATGGAAAATAAGTTTAATAATGAAAGAATTTGAGGTGATAACAATAAGCAATGAATACAATTGGATCGATTGCTCGTCACAAAATCAGGAGAACGCGCACATTGCATTTTGTGGTGAATTCTTCGATATGTCCTTTGATTTACCATTCACGGATTATCTACCAGTGACGATACCAATACGTTTTTGGTTACAAGGTGAAAGTGTTGATCTTGCCTTCTATTTGCCAGAAGTGAATACAAATCGTGTTGTTCTATTGGCATTGAATAAGAATGCAAAAATTCTCACACGAGACGGCACATGTAAGCCAATGTCCGAATTGAAACGTGGTAAAAAATGGCGAAACGTTTGTCAAAGTGGATTAGGCTGGGTCGATTGTTGGTCAGTGCCAATAGCCGCAGTGAGTATTAATTATATTTTTCATCCGTGTCCACCATTGGGACCAACGCCACAGGCAAATATCACGACACCTGAAAAAGAGGAAATACTCCTCTCACCAATGCGAATACCCCGCTGTCGTAAATCGCCCGGACTTCATTGGACGCAGGACGGTAGTCAAAAATTCGATCCACAAACTTTAACACCCGATAAAGTGAGTTTAGATCTGGAAATTGGTCCCTCGGTGCTCATTTTGAATGGAGCTCTAATACGACATTTTGTCCATCTCAAGGAAAATATATTCGGTGATTATCAATCGTTCACAGATATGCAACAGACTCGAAGTACCTCGACTACGGTATCGGGCGATAAAAATAAGGACAAAGACGCACAAAATAGTAGCGTTGAAGCGTCAGTTGAGGAGGAGGAAGCGCGCGTAAAGGCCTTTGATCCACGTGATTATCGACCAATTGAAGTCACTGTTGGCATCACGATACATGACATTCAAGCGCATTTAGTGAAAAATTGCAACGACAATGATCCGCCGTGTCCTATTATTCTATTGGAACGTTTTGGATTTGAAATGAAAAAAGGCTACAAGGAAACGCAACTTCAATTATTACTGTCGCCGGCAATAATGCTACTCACTGACAATGTGACGAGACCCAGCAAGGAGAGGCATTTAAATCAGGGACACTTGATGTTGAGCGCATTACAGGTGAGAGGACACGCAATGTTTAGCAGCGAGGGTCGAACATTAGATCAGGAAACATTGGAATACGCATGGATGATTGAGGTACAATTGGGCAAATTGAGTGGAAAAATTACCTCACCTCAATTACATCATTTAATCACATCACTCGAAACTTTTCTCCTAATGGCAAAGAATTCCGAAAATAGTTTACGACCACCCGATCTTCCTCATCATTGTCATCACGGTCTTCCACCTCTTCAGTGTCCTGACAGTAATCCCGATAATCATTATCGGTAAGGATCATTTTTTTTCCAGCAAAACTTATTCTATTGATCTTTTATTTTCTATTCTTTCATGTCCTCCATTTATTATTTTTTCTTTTTCAATTTTCTTCATCTTTATCAAAATTTGTCTCATCGATCTTTTTCTAATTCGTACCTAATTCGAATTCGATAAATTTACTATCAAATTTGTTTCTCTTTATTTTTTTCTATTTTGAACTATTATTCACAAAATAGTGAATATTTTCGGAAATTAATTAAGTATCGAAAAAGGAAATATTGATGACAATTTTTTTATTTCGACAGTTGTCCGAGTTCTGAGGATATTAAGTACAGAATGACGAGAGTGTCAATAGACGCTTTGGATCTTTATCTTCAGGAATCGGGAACTGCGACACAATTTTGGATTTCGCCGATTCGCGTCTCAACGTGTAATTTACATGGACAACAGGTGAAATCAGGAGTGACTGGTGTTTTACCAACAGTATTAATTCGTCAATTTGTTTCGGCTTGTGGACATTTTGCCAATACCAGTAATACAAACACAACTGGTAGCGGAAGATCGCATAATAACGCCAGCAGTAGAATGTCAGGTGAGTAAAATTTCCTCTCAAAACAAAAGCTTTTTTGCTTGCTAATTTTTTTTTAATATACTATTTCATTGTACTCATTAAAAATGTTTTGAATTTTAAAATGAATGAAAATCTAATTTAATGTTTCGACGATTAAATAATAAAAAAATCAATCGAACAAAATTAAATTAAACATTTTGAAGTAATTGAATTCCTGAGAAGAATTTTATTATTCATAAAAATAATTAAATATTTGCAAAGAATGTTATTAAAATATTTGAAAAATAATTAAAATATTCGAATGAATTTTATTAAAATGGTTTAAAAAATAATTCAATTCTTATAAAGAATTTTATCTAAATTTTTGAAAGTATTTAAATTATTTAAAGAAATTTTATTAAAATTGTTTTAAAAATAATTTACTTACTGGTGAACAGTTTTATTAGTTTTACGAAAATAATTGAAATCTTTCGATAAATTTATTTAATTGTTTAAAAATAATGTAATTGATTTGAAAAATTTTATTATTTATGAAAATAATAATTGAATTCTGTCGAAACGTATTATTAAAATGTGAAAATGACGAATATTAATAATTAAAGAGTTCATTATAGTTTATAAGTAAATCTTCTCTAAATTTAAATCTGAAATTATTTAAAAATTAAAGTTGATATTTGCAATTAAAAAATTTTTTAATCTTCACAATAATAATAATAATAATAAATAGCGCTCGTAATATTTATTGATTCATTTTATATTCTTTAAAAAACATTGTTAAATTAAATAAATAATTATTAATTAATCTAATAATATTTCGAATTTATGAATTTTAATTTTGTAAAGGAGACGGATCCGATATTTGGCTTGAAGTCGGATCGGTGTCATTGGGTCCGGTGGTTATTGAAGCTGCAATTTCGCTTCCAACTCCCGAGCATAATCTTCATTTGGTACAAAATAAATATCTAAAGACACATGACGAGTCGACAAAGCGTCTCTGGTTCCTCTGGCCCCAAGATGTTGGAACAAAACCAACAAAATGCGGCTGCATTGGCGGTTGCGCTTTCTTCGGTAACAATAAAAATGGACCCAAATTCTTCAAACCGAGTTATCACGATCTTCACGATGGAATTAATATTGCTGCCTATCGGTGAGTAGAAAATTAGATAATTTAGTTAAATAAATGACAAAAATTTAGTATTAATAAAATTTATGTAGTGTTATTTTTAGTTATTTATTATTAATAAAATATTTGATTTTTTATTTTATTTAATTCTTTAAAAACACATTTTTGATTTTAGAATTTACGAGGCGGGAAAGGATAGAGGTTTTGGTCAGTCAATTTTACACGAGGGACAATTAGTTTTCCATACTCCACCCTACAGTTTACAGGATGTGACACTGCAGGATGTTTTTCATCCTTCTTCAAATTTAAAAGTTCCCGGACAAGAAGTTTTGCAGGGCTCGAAAATTTGTGTCGAAAGATCAAGATCCGTTATAGATCACAATGACGAGAGTGCAAGTATGAAATTGAGCGCAACTTCCGCGAGTCCTCTCACTGGAAGTTGTGATCGAAAATCACTGGGTCGCCGATTTTCCTACACTTCCAATAGGTAAGTGCAATTTTTTCCTTTTCCAAACTATTTCTTTTTGAAATTTTATCATTACATTTATATTTCACTTTTCTTTTTTGTCTTTTCTTGGTACTTTCTGGTATTTTTTTAATTTTTGATATTTTTGGCAATATTTTGTATTTTTTGATATCCTTTTGGCATTTTTTGGTAAAATAATAATAATTTGAAGTTGTGTAAAAAAAATAACTTTTTCCAGAGGATCGAACGTACGGGACGTTCCTTATTCCCGTCTAGTGGACGCAAGTCCCATTAGTCAGCTGCCACAAAAATTGGATTCGGACTCGATTCTAAATACCGAACGCAGTAAATCGATTCTCAACGTTCCGGAAATTGAAGCAGCACCAAAAAGCAGTGTTTCGGATTCAAAATTAGCTGTGGATTATTTTAGTGTCCAGGAAAGTGAGAATCTTCAACAGGCGAGTAGTCCGCAATCGTGGAAAATAATAACTACTGAACCGAGTCCAATTTCAACACAATTTAAGGGTACGGAAAGTGTCAATGTATCCGATTCACATCATTCACTTTCGGCCAAATCCGATTCGGACGAGAGATTGAAGCAAGAAGTAAGTGACTTTCAATTTTTCTAGTTAATTTTTCTATTCATTTTTCAATTCGATTTTTCTATTTTACTTCAGAATTACAGGGCTCAAACTAGGTTCGTAAATCCCGTAAAAATTCATAACTTTGCTTGAAGTCCGTAAAAGTCCGTTTTTTTGAAAAAAAAAGTCCGTAAAGTCCGTAATTTGATTCAAAAAGGATGAAAAGTTCGTAAATTGTACGATATAATTTGGATAATATTTTTAAATACTTTCATTGGTTCGAGCCCTGGAATTAATTTAAGGAATAATATTCAATTGATATGGATTAATTTAAGGTTCAGCGAACGGTGTCAATGTCGTCAGAGAATCATTCGGAGGCGTTTTACTCGGCGGACGAAGACACGAGCCACGGTCTCGGCGGAAGTCGAACGCCAAGTTTACGTCAATCCATCATCGGCTCGGGTCCAATATTAACCCGCAACGACAGTATGAAAAAGAAATTCTCCTCCGATCTCTCAATTGTCGAGAGTTCAGCGAATGTGAATTTCGTGACGAGTGAAAAGGCCCACACTTTAGAGAGAGCTAAACCACAATCGCTGAATGCTCGAAAAAGTCCCCGAGTTCCTGGTAATCTGACTCTACACCGCGACGTCGAATCACACGAAAATGGCCTTCTTCACGATTCATCCGACAGTCATTCAGTCTCATCGACAAGTTTCATATCCGCAGTTTCCTCCCAAGAAGACATGACCCTTGTAAATTTACACATGCAAGTCAATAAACCAATTGTTGATTCTCCATTATTAATGTCGAGTTACGTGAGTCACTTGACCCAAGTTCGTTGCTCAAACTGGAGTCAATCGTCACTTCCAAGCGGTGATGGCGACGCCTTCACAACACCATTATTCCAACCCACCGAGGACGGAAGATTAGTCTACGTCGGCGGTCGTTACGTTCCAAAATACGAAACACTCACCGAGGGTTTCACAACACTGAAAATGATAACCCGCACCGACGGTTCACCAAAAGCCTGCTCATCAAATAAAACACCGACCCATCCCTACGTCTGGGACAGTGCGACACTGATAAATTCCGAGGGCGAGGACGACAATGCCACACACGACGAGGAAGAACTCCTGGCAATGCAACACGAAACCGGCTCAAGAACAACGGTAATAGTGAAATTAAAAGGCGATCTCGACATTATGATAAGTCCCATGGTTCTCGAATCCCTGCAACGTTTCATCGACGCAATCACTCCAACTCTAGCCACTCTTCATCCACTCACAATCATCAATCACGTGCACAATGAATGCATCACAAAAGTCGAGGACGCAAATATTTTGAAACAAGATCAAACTCTCTCGTACTGGAGTCAAGTGCAAACCAGTTCGAAACGATCGACAGCCGAGAGGAACGTGAAGAGTGACAATGGAAAAATTGCCCTACAAACTAGCGTCTATGAAGAGAGTATAACGACACAAATTCAAGGCAGTATAACTCTACCGAAAATTAATATCACCCTTCTCCAGGCGTCGGTGGTCGAGGAGATAATTTCCTTCTCGGCTCTCGATAATATTCGCGATCTCACCTGTGTTTCATTGTTTGCCATTTGTTTCGATGAAGTCACGGCGCGATTTTATCTTGGTAAACAGGCGCGCGAAGTTGTGCAGACATTTCATAAACCGGCCGTTTTGCCGAATCAAAAGAAAGTGAATAAAATCACGAAGGCATTTCTACCGGGTCATAGAACGGCGGCTGTTGTTGCCGATATTGGTGGCGGTGAAACTGTTTATATTGAAACATCAGAGAAACAACAGGAGGAAATTATCGTGACACTAAATATTGGAAAGGTGCATTCACAATTACGTAGATTGAGAAATGAATCGTCAATTTTGAAGGATGCTGTCATTACTGCTATACCTGGACAGCATTCAAAGGTTTTATTCACTTGTACGAGAATTTCGTCACCTTTGAAATGTGTTGATTATTATCTTCAGCAACCGACGGAGGAGAAGGAGAAGCCGGGAGTGAGTATTGAAAAATATTTATTTTTTTATTAGGAAACATTTATTTTTCTATTAGGAGAAAATTTATTTCTCCATTAAGAAAAATTTTTTTCTCTATTAAGAAAAATGTATTTCTCTAAATTAGGAAAATAAAATTATTTCTCTGAATTTATCAAGATTGCCAGAGGTCAGGGAAATCAGGAAAAAGTCCTGAAAAATTTTTATTAAAAGTACCGGAAAAATTTAATTTTTAGAATTCATAAGAAAATTCTGAATTTTTGTGTCTAAAGTTTATCTCATAAATTTTAACAATTCTAATTCTTCTGAAAACAGTTTAATTTTTTAATAAATATTTAAATTTAAAATTTAAAACATTATAATAATCGTAAGTTTCCTTTCCGTTATCAAATAATCTGCATTCTTTTGTTTGTTTTAAAAATTAAATTTTGTGGGTTAAGTATTGGCATTTTTTATATTTTTTAATGTCAAACTCCACTCTTTGGTAAAAAAACTAAAATTATCGAAAATTATCAAAAATTCAAAAAACCGAATTTCTTAAAATTCAACATTTTTTCCTCTCTTTTATGGAATTTAGCTTCATTATTTTTGTGCTCTTGGAAAATACTTTGCGTTTTTAAAAGTCTCGACTTTTTGGTGAAAAATCTAAAATTATCGAAAATTATCAAAAATTCAAAAAACCGAATTTCTTATAAATCAACATTTTTCCCTCTCTTTTATAGGATTTTAGCTTCATTATTTTTGTGCTCTTGGAAAATACTTTACTTATTTAATAGTCTCGACTCTTTGGTAAAAAAACTAAAATTATCGAAAATTATCAAAAATTCAAAAAACTGAATTTCTTATAATTCAATACATTTTTTCTTCTCTTTTATGGGATTTAGCTTCATTATTTTTGTGCTCTTGGAAAGTACTTTACTTATTTAATAGTCTCGACTCTTTGTGTGAAAAATCTAAAATTATCGAAAATTATCAAAAATTCAAAAATCCGAATTTCTTATAAATCAACATTTTTCCCTCTCTTTTATAGGATTTAGCTTCATTATTTTTGTGCTTTTGGAAAATACTTTACTTATTTAATAGTCTCGACTCTTTGGTGAAAAATCTAAAATTATCGAAAATTATCAAAAATTCAAAAATCCGAATTTCTTATAATTCAACATTTTTTCTTCTCTTTAATGGGATTTAGCTTCATTATTTTTGTGCTCTTGGAAAATACTTTACTTATTTAATAGTCTCGACTCTTTGGTAAAAAAACTAAAATTATCGAAAATTATCAAAAATTCAAAAAACCGAATTTCTTAAAATTCAACATTTTTTCCTCTGTTTTATTTGATTTAGCTTCATTATTTTTGTGCTCTTGGAAAATACTTTACTTATTTAATAATTTCGACGCTTTGGTAAAAAATCTAATATTATCGAAAATTATCAAAAATTCAAAAATTCGAATTTCTTATAATTCAACATTTTTTCTTCTCTTTTATGGGATTTAGCTTCATTATTTTTGTGCTCTTGGAAAATACTTTACTTATTTAATAGTCTCGACTATTTGGTGAAAAATCATAAATTATCGAAAATTATCAAAAATCCGAATTTCTTATAATTCAACATTTTTTCTTCTCTTTTATGCCATTTTTTTTTAAAAACTTCTTCACAATAATTCATTTATTTGCATAAATATTAAAACTTATTGCCGAATTTCAATTATTTTTAATATCTACCATTTTAATATAATTTTCCAAAAGAATTCAATCATACGTTAAAAATTTTATTAAAATTCGTCGAAAGAATTCAATTATGTATTTAAAAATTTGTTGATAAAATTCCTCAGTAGAATTTAATTTTAATAAACATTTAAATTTTTCAATAAATTATTTGTTTTTGCATTTAAATAATTGAATTCTCAGATGATTTTTTTTATAAGAATTGATTTAAAATTAAATTTCAGTTAATATTCTAGATAATAATTGAATTAATTTTAATATTTACTATTATAATAAAAAATTGATCAAAAGAATTAAATTATTTAAAAAAAATGTTAATAGAATTCTTGCTAAGAATTGAATTATATTTTTTAAAATATTAAAAATTTTCCTCCTGTCAGGAATTCAAATATTAAAAAAAATGTTTTATATTATTTATATTTTATAATAATATATTTTTAAGTTATTTAATTTCAAAACGGTTTGAATTTGAATCTTTTGAAGAATTTTAATTCCTATGGAAAAATAATAATGATTAATATATTTATTAAAAAAAAGAAGTTTTTATGTTTTCGAATAGTTTTACAATTAGAGAAATTCGTAAATAAATGTAATAGAAAAATTTTTTGATTATCTAATCATTTTTAGAGTGAATCGCAAAATATTCTTTAAGTTCAGGGAAAAAGTTAAAATTTTGTCTGTAAATCAGGGAAGAGTCAGGGAAAATCAAAATTAAATTTTTGTCGCAACTTTGTTTATTAATCTACTAAAATATTAATAATTAATTTAATTTTGAAATTTATTTTTTTAAGGCAACGGAGGAGTTTACATTGGGAAGTGGAGAAGACAGACTGGGATTTATAATGTTTGAATGTGGATTCGAAGGCATTAAATTGAAAGTGGCCAAAAGATCGCAATTCGAGAAAGGCGAAAACGGAAGCGATGAGAAGAAAATTGAAACCGAAATATTGTACAACGATAGTGTCAAGAGTCAAGACGAAATGGAAAATTCTGCCCGTTTGTATTCTTTTTATTAATTTATTGAAATCTCTATAAATAAATTTTGAATAGATAAAGTTTAAAAGATTAGAATTTAATTTAATTTTGAAAATTTAATTGAATTAAAATTTTTAAAATATTCTTTGCAGCTCTAAATGCGGAGATGAATGAAACGGACACGGGACAGCCGACAACGCCAAACACAGCGCAACCGAATAATAGTGCAACGAGCAATAATCTCGTGGCAAAAACAACAAATGGAAATACCGTTTCTTGTGTGATTGAACTGAGAACAGTGTGGTTTAATTTTGCGGCACCTCCACGAACGCCAATTACGAGGAAAATTGATTTTACACGATTAGATTGGAATTTACTTAGTACAGCTTCGCCAGCAATAAATGCATGGATGAATCCAAGCAATAGATTTGCAATACAAATTATTAATATGTTTCGTTCAATGTACAGAAGATCAACAGCGGTTGTTGCTTGTCTAATGGCAGAAGCTTTAGATATTCAAGGCATTCACATGCCGGCAAAGGTAGAAAAGAAAATGAAAAATATATATTATTTATTATATAATATTTTTAAAAAATTTAATTTCACTATTTATTTTCAGAGTCGATATGGAAGACTCACGCCACTTGCCAAAACTCTTCAGGAGGATCCGTCTTGTCAATTATGTAGCGTTTTACAAAGTTATGTGATACTCACCGATATTTCCATGATTGAGGAAAATCTCCGAGAAATCGATTTACCACTATTGTCTACCCTTCGTCAGGTAAAAAGTGACAAAAAAATATTTACTTTCTTTTTGAAATTCAATGAAAATTTACTATATTTTTGCAAAATATAATTTTTCGAAATATAGTTCTTCAAAAATAGGATTATATTTTAAAAACAATTTTTAAAAGTATTAAAATTAAATTCTTTAAATATAAAATTTATTTTAATGAAATTTAAGAAACTTTCCTTGTTTCAATTTTTAAAAATTATTTTTAGAAATTTAACTATTTTCAAAAAATTTTCATTACGATTTTTTAAAAACCACTTCTTTTAGCATTTCAATATAAAATTTTTTTAATTTCATTACGTAATTTTTGTTTAATTAATTATTACTGTTCATATTTTCAAAAATTTTAATAAAATTTCTCGAATTTTAAATTCTATTAGATTTGAAATTGCTAATTTTATTTTATTTTTATTTTTTAATTCATGAATTTTTTTTTAATTTGAGAAAGAAAATTCAGACTTTTAAATTTTTCAGTAATTTTGTATTTTTTCAATTCATAAGTTAATAACAATTTTTTTAATTAATTACAATTGCACAATTTTGTATATTTCAGGGCGTAATTGTTCTAAGCCGACAATGGAAGAACGTACTTTATACACCATTGTTATTGGAACATAATTACAAAACAAAACACGTTAAACCCCTTAATGTCACTTTTGCCGTTTCCGATCCTGACGAGGTAATATTCTTTTTTTTCTAATAATTCTTCTAATAATCAATTTCAACTTCACGATTTTTTCATTTTATTAAATATCTTTTCTATGAATTATTATTATTTCTTTTAATATTTGCTTTTCAAAATAATTTTTGTCATTATTTTCTAATAAAAGAAGAAATACGTAGTATTTGTGCCTTTTTTATTATAAAAATAACGAATTCTTTTAATTTTGCTAGAATTTTTATTATTTACAAATAATTCACAACAAGATGGTTAAAAATTGTCTCTTAGGATTTCAACGAGCAATATATAAGCGAGACGGATGAGGAGGAAATTCTAAATTATAAGAGGAGTATGGACATTTATGACAAATTTTTTATTTAAAATCTACAAAAAATCGTAGCTTGAAAACAAAATATTTATTCTTGTCCTCAAATACGTCATTGTGTCCGCTTCTCTATTTTGGGTTCTTTGATAAAAAATTAGTCTTTAACAATCACGTAGATTCATGTTTTTTCGAATTTTTCTTTTGTTATTTCTCTTCAATAATATTTTTTATTTCTATAGATTATATATTTGTTTAGAAAGTGTGAAAACGTTTCTAAAAAAAAATCGCTGTGCTTTTAACATTTCATTATATATGAATAACACACGTGAATATTTTATTTGATTTCAAATGTTTTCGCAATAAATTCTAATTTCGAATTCTAAATAGTAAAGAAAAAGAAAATTAGAAATTTGAAATTGTTGAAAATATTTGAAATTATCTTTTAGTTACCTATTGATTGCTTGAGGTTGTAGAAAATAGTTTCATGAACGCAAAATAGTAGCTTTGCTTTTGCTTTTTTACACAGGAAAATATACTCACGGACGGTGATGAAGGTAGTGCAGGAGACGTTGACGATCAAGAAGTCACGGACGAATGTGCTATGCTGATTCATAGTGACAACTTGCACAAGCAAAGCCACGTTAAAAGTGGACTCGATAAAACCTCAGGTATATTTTTTTATCTTTTTTAATCCAAGCTGCTTTTTTTCTCTCTCGAAAAAAGAAAATCAGAACAATCAAAATTTCACCACTTTTCTTTCACTAATTCGGGCAAAAAAAATTTCTTTTCTGTGCACCAAATCCCATTTCTTCACCCTCGCATATTTTTTTTATCAAAACTAGAAAACTAGCATTGCTTGATTCATTGATAATGGAAATTTTTTACTAACTCTAGTTACTAATCTTTACTAATTAGCCTTACGGAACGTCCTATTTTATTTCTTATTATTATGCAAATTGCATAATTTTTTATTTTCAAATACAAATTTTTGTAAATAAAACCAAAATTTAAAAAATTCACTTATTAAGTGCATAATTAATTAATATTGTTGAAATTTTCACAAATTTTAATAAAATTATTCCTTAAAATTCAATTACTTTCATAAAAAGTAAAATTCTTTTAAAGATTTCAATTATTTTCAAAAATTTTAATAAAATTCTTCTTAAAAATTCAATTATCTTCATAAAAAATAAAATTCTTTTGAAGATTTCAATTATTTTCTTAAAGAATAAAATTCTTCGGAGAATTTGAATTATTTTCAAAAATTTGAATAAAATTCTTCGCAAGAATTCAATTATCTTCATAAAAAATAAAATTCTTTGGATAAGATTTAAATTATTTTCATTAATAATTAAATTCTTCGGAGGATTTCAATTATTTTCAAAAATTTGAAACAAATTCTTCTCAAGAATTCAATTTTTTATTCAATAAATAATAATTAAATTCTTTACACAATTTCAATTATTTAAAAACATTTGAAACAAATTCTTGTCAAGAAACCTTTCAAAGTAAAATTCGTCGCAAAAATTAAATCATTTTTTATAAATAATAAAATTCTTCGGAGGATTACAATTATTTTCAAAAATTTTAATAAAATTCAATTTTCTTCAGAAAAAATAAAATTCATTTGATGATTTCAATTATTTTCAAAAATATTTATAAAATTCTTCGCGAGAATTCAATTATTTTTATTAATAATAAAATTCCTCGGAGGATTTCAATTATTTTCATTAATAATAAAATTCTTTGGAGGATTTCAATTATTTTCTAAAATTTGAAACAAATTCTTATCAAGAATTAAATTTTTTTCATAAATAATAATAAGAATTCAATTATTTAAAGAAATTGAAACAAATTCTTGTCAAGAAATCCTTTCGAAGTAAAATTCATCGCAAAAATTAAATTAATTTTTATAAATAATAAAATTCTTCGGAGGATTATAATTATCTTCAAAAATTCTAATGAAATTCAATTATCTTCAGAAAAAGTAAAATTCTTTTGTTGATTTCAATTATCTTCTTAAATAATAAAATTCTTCTTAGGATTTCAATTATTTTCAAAGGATATAATTATTTACAAAAATTAATAAAATTGTTAAAAAGAGTTAAATTTTCTATAAATAATTTTAATAAAATTTTAATAGTAAAATTATTAATTACAATTATTAAGAAAATCAATTATATTAAAAAAATTGAAGAAATTTTTTGATAGACTTCAATTATTGTCAAAACCTTTAATTGCACCTATCTTTTCTTCGAAAGAATTTAATTATTTTCTATTTTTTAATAAAATTCCTTGAATGAATTAAATTATTTTAGAAAATTGTAATAAAATTTTTGAGAAGAATTTAATTATTTTCTAAAAATTGTAATAAAATTCAATAATTAAATTGTTAATTTTAATTATTAAGAAACACGATTATTTTAAAAACTTGAAATAAATTGTTCATAAAATTCAATTACTTTCAAAATTTCCAATTAAAATTATTAAAGAAACTCCATTATTTAAAAAAAATTCAAAGAAATTCTTCAAAAGAATTTAATCAGGATTTTTTAAAATTATAATAAAATTTTTTGCGAGAATTCGATTATTTTAAAAACTTGATAGAAATTGTTCATAAAATTCAATTACTTTCAAAATTTTCAATTAAAATTATTAAAGAAACTCCATTATTTAAAAAAAAATTCAAAGAAATTCTTCAAAAGAATTTAATTAGGATTTTTTAAAATTTTACTAAAATTTTTCACGAGAATTCGATTATTTTCAAAAATAATAAAATTCTGCGAAGAAATTCAATTATTCTCAAATTTTTTTGATAAAATTCTTTGCCAGAATTCAATGATTTTTAATACATTAATTTTAAATTTAAAAATATTTGAAAGGAAAAATTATTAAAAAGTTCGAAAATGTTAGGAATTGAAAAGTGTTTTAAATACTGGATGAAACATGGAGTTTGGAATAAACTGAACAGATAAAAATAAATAAATCGAAGATTAATTAAATAGTGCTTTTGTAGTTTAATTTAATTTTGGCTGAAGATTATCGCTGCTTTCTATTGTGAAATTGTCTAATTAAAAAAAATAGCTTCTTTTCTTGTACTTCGTAACGAAAAAAAAACTTGCCTTGCTATATGGGATAACCAGGTGTTTGTGGTGATGGTTTGACGGTTCCGGTAAGCTCTCCTCGCGGGAGAGATACCAGTCCTTTATCGACACCGGTACCAGGCCCGGATTCACTAACCTCTCCCTCTCCACCAGTAGCTCTTTCGAAAAAAGGAAGATCACTGCAGCCCACACAAGTGCCTGTTAGTACTCGTGCCAGTATTGTCTTTCCATTGCTTGCAAGTGGAGGATTATTTAATCAACCAAAAGAACCTAACATCAGTGAGTAATGCGCTTTTCATTGTTGTGTGTTTTTTCTCAAATAAAACTAATTAATAAAAAAAATTGAGCAAAAAAAATTAACAAACAATAATTTAACAGATAATTAACAAATTAACAAAAATTAAATACTCTTATTCAGTTAAGATTGGAAATATAATTGGTTTTTCTTTCTCAGGCTATGGCACGTTACGAGAAGAGAAGACGCCGCAAATTTACGTTTCGCATTCACATCAACTTGGGTCGAATCCAAGTATTTATTCGGGCGGTGGAGGACATGGAAGTCAGCACAGTACTGGAAGTTTGGACCAAATTACATCGCCGACTGGTTATCATTCGCGAGGACCGGTTAACGCTGGTGAAGATTTGTACAGTTGGATGGCGAAACAACAAGAATTTATCAAAGAAAATGATAAGACTCACTTGAAAGGAAATTGGGTACGTTAACACTTTTTTCCACCCCAAAAGACGATACTGTAATTATTTTTCTCTCTCAGGTCTTTCGGACCGAGCAAAAAAATATCAAGGTAGAATAATTTCTATTTCGTCACTAAAATTAGTATCTACTTTCCAATTTTCAAAATGAATTTTTACATACATTTCATTCTCCATATTTTCATTTTATTATATTTGCGTTTTTTTTAATTATTTTTCCCTTTTCATTTAGTTATATTTTCGTTTTTTTTTCTTTTTTCAATTAGTTAGATTTTGGTCTTTTTATAATTTTCGTTTTTATTATCTTTCCATTTTTCGAAATTGCTTTGATTATATTTTCTTAATTAAATTGATTTAAATTAAATTATTAAATTAGTTAGTTATTCTTTTTTTGTAAAAAATTTCAGGACTCAAAAATCAATACAATGACAACTGACGACACTGAAGATTCAGACGTTCAAAGCCGGCCATTTCTGTACCCAATGAAAGACTCTCTAAGACTGTTAGATGCTCATTTAATTTTTGAACCTCTTTTATCATCATTGTCCGTGATGCCGCAACAAATGCTGTCAGCAATTGGCTCCAGTAATTTGAATAACGTTTCATCGTTGGATTCACTGGGTTCGAATTTGTCCCTCGTCGGTAGTATGGAGACAATGAGAATCGATATTATTGTCAGTGAATTCGGTAAAATTACCGATAAAAAGAAAGGTGAGGAAAGGAATAATTTTAATTACAAAATTTAAAGAACGTAGATTTAAAAAAAAAGAATTATTTCAAATTCTTCTGAAATTAGTTAAAGTTTATAATTTTCAACAAAATTTTAATTATTTTTTATAAATAATAAAATTCTTCTCCGAAATTCAATTATTTTTAAAATTTTCAATAAAATTCTTGACAAAATTTCAATTATTTTCCAAACATTTCAATATCTATTTTAATAAAATTTTTCAAAAGTATTCAATTATTTATCAAAAATTTGAATAAAATTTTACGCAAACATTTAATTATTTACAAAAAATAAAAATTTCACAGCATTTCAATTATTTACAAATTTTTTATAAATTTCTTCCCAATAATTTAATTATTTTCATAAATCTCGGAGTGATCGATATCTTCATGTTTTATAATAAAATATTTTTGATTTGTTGAATTTCAAAAATGTTTGAATTTAAATCGTTTGAAGAATTTTAATTCCTATGGAAAAATAACAATGATTAAAATATTTATTAAAAAGAAAAGTTTTGATGTTTTCGAATAGTTTTACAATTAGAGAAATTCGTAAATAAATGTAATAGAACATTTTTTTGAGTATCTAATCATTTTTAGAGTGAATCGCAGAATATTTTTTAGGTTCAGGGAAAAAGTCAAAATTTTGTCTGGAAATCAGGGAACAGTCAGGGAGAATAAAAATTAAATTTTTGTCGCAAGCCGAAAAGAGAAAATATTCTGAACTAATATTATTTTTAATTTAACTATTTTTATTTTAGCTATTATTAAATTTACAATATTTTCAATAGAATTTTTTTTCTAATCACACAGGAAGCAAATATCCGACAAAAAAAGGTGGAACCAAGTTTCATTTGGACATTCCGCCGGAAACTCCGGCCTTTTTGTGCGAGAAAATTGGTATCGATGTAGATATTAAAAAAATGGCTGACATGGCCGTTGATGATATGATACAGAAGCAGAATATTTTATATATTTCACGTGGTCAATTAAAAAAGCACACAAGTACGGTTGTTAATTTTAGTTTAAATATTCGATATATTAGTCAGCAGGTGAATATGCCACTATTGAGACTGTTGCATCAAATAAGTAACATGTATCAGAATTTTAAGGAAACACAATTGGAACTCAAAGAACAGCAACCCGAAATCAAAAGGAATAACAATTTGACAGTTCACAATCCTCCCACGAAAAATGGTTCATCATCAAGTAAATATTAAGCAACTTTTTTTTCAAAAACTTCCATTTTTTTGCTAATTTGTATTATTCATTTACAACTGAATTTTATTTTTTTCAGCCTCCGATCTTCAGGACCATTTGGCAGGTGGTAAAAAATTAGACGAGCCATTAATGCAAAATAATTTTGATGCACAACAACAGAAAGTGATATCGCCCTCGTCGAGTATTCGATCGAGACCACAAAGTTTTGCGCAAAAATTACGAAGTACGGGAAAAAGTGTTAAGGGCTACATTAATTTGAGTGAAGGTGTTATTACACCGAATTTCGGTGCAAGTCCAAATGGTTCGGGTCTCGATAAATTTAGTATTATATCGGAAAAATGTAAAGACGCATCGAAATTGGCGCCACGTTGTTGGAAAACAATTTACTATCTTCTTGATTTATATGCAACAAAACCGGAGACAAAAACTGTTGCTCATCGTTTTTCCGTTCCGGCCGATAGCGCCGAGAATTATAAAGGTGGAAAAAAATATGAGACGCTCAATGAAACGAAAGACACGGATATTGAGAAGGGAATTAATGCCGAGAGTAGTTCAACGCCAATTCCACCTCAACGAGAGCTCAGTAAGTTTCTTTTTTTGAAATTCAAAATTCAGTCTTGTTTTTACATTCTCATCACATGAGAAAGTATTGGCGATTAGTTTTTTGTATTTTCGTTTGGCTAAATTTTTTTTTCTTTCAGATTTAGTGACTGGAGAGCGAACAAGACTGATAATTTTTGGAGTGGCGCGAATTCATCGGACACGATTATTGGCAACGTTGAGTGGCCTAAAACTCGAGGCGGAGATAACGAGTTTACACGCGAGTTTAACGTGTCGAAAAAAATCACGACCAGCGAGTCTCGAATGCAGTTTGACGGGACAAATTGGACGAACGATGATTGTTTTATTGGAAGGCGTTGCTCCCAGTCAGCAGACAGTCGTTAAAGTCACTGTCGGAAAATCGCAAGCTTTATATTCCAGCGTGACGAGAAAGCAAAAGGATAAAAACAGCGGTTTATTAACCGTCGGCGCTGTTAATATTGACATTCCGCAGCATCCAGTCGCATTGCATGGAATGATGACCAGGGGTAGTAAACAATTATCCTCCACCCTTCAGGTATATTTTATTTTTAATTAAATATGACAAATAATAATTTTCCTTGGGTAACGATCACCCGTTTTTCTATTTTTTAATTTTAATAAAAATAAATTGTTCTGTAAATTAAAAAATTTTCAATTTTCGAAATCAATTTTTGAATGATTACAGATTTAAATTTAAAGAATTCATTTGTATTATGTACATAAAATTAAATATTCTTGATTATTATTATTTAAAATATTTTAAAAATTTCTCAAAAAAATACAATTATTTTTAAAAATATTAATTAAATTCGATTCTTTCAAGAATTTTAATATAAATTCAATTGTTTTTAATAATTTTGATGAAATTCTTTTATAAAAAAATTTATTTTCAAAATTTCAAACTGCGAACAGATTTTCGGAATACAACGATTATTAATTTAGAAGATAGAAGATAGATAAAAGATAGATAGATATTCAAATATTAATTATTAAAAAATTATAAAAAATTAATTTGAAAATTTTGTGTTCAATTTCAAGGAATTGAGAGTGACACGAGCGTCATCGAGACTTTCGCGAGGACAACAGCAGGAGGAGGCGGACGGTGCACCGGGAAGTCCACATCAATATCCACCGGCACCGACGATAGATGTGGAGAAACCTCAACATGTTTCGGGATTATTGGAACCGATTGTTATGCAATTTCATCTTATTCTCCAGAGTCTCAGTATCACCGCTGCTCTATTGCCGTCTCTTCAGGCGCAGTATAAAATGGATCAGGTGACAAGTTCCGGTATAACTGGTAGCAAGGCAAAATTCACGATCGACTTGCCCCAGCATAGTTTGAGTTTTACTACGAAATTACAAGTAACCGAGGCGAATTTACCCTCTGAAGCGAGCATTGAATTACCGAAAGTTCACGTCTCCGCTGAATATATTCAGGATGGAAGCAGTAGTTTAAATGACAATAAACTTGCAGGTATGTATTTACAAATTATTAAACTATTTATTATTTATCTGATTTTATTATTAACTGGAAAATGTGGAACGGAATTTAATTTATTATTCTGCAATTTACGAAATTTTTTATTTTCAAATTCCAACTGCAATTTTCGAATAATTTCAAATTAATAATTTTAAAAAAATCATTTATTAACTGAATATAATTATTATTTATTATGCATTATAAAAAATGTAGAAGAAATAATTTCTCATTTTAATTTTTTCTAGACGGTGTTGTTTTGAGACAGGGAAGTTATTTGAGCGCAAAGGCAGATATCGGAGTTTTTGAACATTCATTATCGACTGACTTGTTAAATCATTTGGTCTTTGTACAAAAGGTCTTCATGAGGGAGGTAAACGAAGTCGTGCAGAAGGTGTACGGTGGCGAGAAACCCGTGCCCCTTTGGCTGGAGGACGAAGAACCCGCTTCCTCCTCTTCGTCACTGAAAAGATTCCTATTCACTTTAATCATACGAATTAAGGTAAATTAAAAAAAATTCCCCTTTGTAATTATTTAAATATTATTTATTTTGAAAATCTATTATTATTATTAGTATTTTGTTTATATTTTCAAGTCGAGAGCAAAATAGAATAAAAAGGATTTCCTATAATTGTTTGGTTATATTTATTTTTTCAGAGGATCCAATTAACAGCGACAACACCAACAAATTCGGCAGTGCGACTAGAAACAGGAGCCGTTGAATTACAATTATCAAATCGTGTTCAAAATGTTTCCGGTTCAACGCAAATGAAACTTTTTGGAAAAGCTCAAGTCGATATTAATTTGAGTTTAGGACAATTATTGAAGAATGTCATGTTCGAGGAGGCGGAACCTGAATTTCAACAATTTGCATTCTTTAATACACGTGTTGGTTTACGTAATGCATTTCAGGAGGAAATGGCTGAGGATGAAGCCAAGGAAGTTGTATTGATAACATTAAAACGTCCATTAATTTACATTCAACCAATTGCCGTCGATAAGGCCGTGTTGGTTTGGTTAAATTACAAAAATGCTTATGAATATTGGAATGAGAAGAGATCGAATTTAAATAAAGAAGTATTGACGGCAACTCAACAGGTCTTTGAGAAAGTTCCATTCGGCCAATTAACAAGTCAATTGAGCGCACCAAATTTAGGAACATTATTTTTACAACTCACTGTCGACGATATGGGAATTTGCATTCCATTAAATTCACTGCCACCAAATAATTGGGGAATGAGTCGTGGACTTTATGATGGAGAATCGCGAGGCGCTGTTGTTATTACTTTGGAGAATACGAGTATTTCTGCGTGTAGCAGTGGAAGTCTCGTTAGTAAAGGGCGGTGAGTTTTTTCAAAATTTAATTATTTACGTTATTGAAATTAAGTTTTTCTTAAACAAACACTTATCAACTGAATCAATAATTTAAATTTATTAACTAAATTAATAATTTAAATTTATTGAACTAAATTAATAATTTAAATTTATTAAATTAAATTAATAATTCAAATTTATTAATTTAAACCATAATTTAGATTTTTTAATTCTAAAATATAATTTTAGTTTTTCAATTTCTATTTCTCGGTGATTACTTCACGAAACATTGACAGAGACGAAAATTTAAAAATATGCTTAATTTCTTTTTCTAATTTTCAGATTTGTTGGCCTTTGCTTAAGATTTGCAGAGGATTTTGAAACTTCTCTGGACGATTGGAAACCGGATATGACAGATAATAATGTGATGAATCTTTGTGTTGTTTCCGAAGGTACTTATGAAGTCTGCAGTCGAACTATTGCACAAAAGCAAGACAAATCAGGTGAGACTTATTTTTTCCTACTATTTAAAATTCTGAGAATTTCAATTAATTTCAATACAATTTTAACAAAATTTCTAGGAAAAATTCAATTATGTTCAAGATAATTTTAATATAATTTCTTTAAATAATTCTAAACAATTTAATTGTTCTCAAAAGTTTTTAATAAAATTGTAAATTTCAATTGAATCGTGAATTTCGAAAAGGACTCAACTTGGATAGAATTTTATTAAAAAAATTTTAAATAATTGAATTCCTTAAAAAAAATGTATTATTGCAAATAATTCAATTTTTGCAAAATTTAAAAAATAAGTGAATTTTTGAGAAGAAGTTTATGAAAATTGTATTTAAAGTAATTGGATTTCTGGGAAAATTTACTATTTATTGATATAATTGAATTCTTGCGAAGAATTTAAAAATAATTTAATTTCCCCTGGAATTCAATTAAAGCTGTATTTAAAATAATTGAATTCCATCGAAAATTTTATTATTTATGAAAATAATTGAATTCTTGAATTGAATTTTATTAAAAGTTTTTTTAAACAATTGAACTCCTATGGATAATTCAATTACTTTCTAAAATAATTGAATTTTTTTGGAGAATTTTTACAAGATTTTTAAAAATAATTGTAATTTTCGAAGAAATCAATTAAAATTAGTTAAATAATATTTATTACTTCAAGTCAAATGGTATTTAAAATCTTGTTTTCTGACTAAATAATTTCTATTTTATTATATTTAATATATTGTTGTTAAATAATTTAATATCTTTATGAAATAAACTCATGTAAATTAAATTGCAGATAACGCGAAATGGTTATTGAATGTTCAGTGGCAAATGGAAGGAGTTGATATTCATTTGGACGTGAGTGTAGGTAAACAATTGTCAGCACTTGGTCACACTTTGACAATGTTAACGGGCTTCGAGGAAGACGATCCTCATGTTTCGCTCGATTATGATAGTGACGATGCGGATCAACCAAACAACAGCACGAGCCAGGTTAAAAAAAAAGTATGGTTATTTATTTTTTTTCTTATTTACTTGGGTGTTGATTCGTCCTCGGTTTTTTTGGTAATGTACTAACAAAATTTCTGGTGTATTTGCTTGTATTTTTTTGGCGCTAATCGTCAAACAACTCTTTTTGTTCCTCTTAATTTAAATTTACTAATTGTCAGTAACAATTCTTTTTGTTTCTTTTAATTTAAATATTACTAATAGTCAACAATTCTTTCTGTTTCCCCTAAATAATTTAAATTTACTAATCGTCAACAATTCTTTTTATTTTTTCTAATTAATTGAAATCTACTAATAGTTAATAATTTTGTTAACAATTTTGTTTCTCCTAATTTAAATTATAAACTTTATTTAATTTATTTAAATTATTTTTTCGATACTTTAATTTTACTTCCTTTAATTTTAAGTTAAATTTCTTTTTCAAATTCTATTTTTTGAATAATTCTTTGTATTTTTAATTTTTGGTAAAATTTTAATTTTGTTGTTAATTTAACGATTATTTTTAACAGGAGAGCATTTTAATGAAGAAATCGAAAAATTGGACAGACAGTTTGCCGGCATTTGTGTTCGATCCGTCCCTTGATGCAAAGAAGCGTTCGAAATTAATTGAAAAGGAAATGAATGAGCAGGCGAAAATTATCAACGATCTTAGATCATTGGGCGCCTCTCATGGAACAATTGAACAGGAAATGAAACGTTTACACGAACTGGAGGCAATGGTCTTCAAAGATTTTCGAAGGTTGCTTTTCTTCAAAATTATATATCTACTTTCTTGATTTTAGAACTTTTGTTCTATTTATATTTAAAATTGAAATTTTAAATTGGAATTTAAGTTCTTTATTTAATTTAGAGTTAAAATTTTAATTTTTAATGATTTTTAATGGTTTTTAATGATTTTCAATGATTATTTAATTGTATTGGCAATTTTAGGGACATGATTCAAAAATTGAGAAGACAATCGGTTAAAGCTTCGGGAATAAAGGGAAAACTTGGCCTGGGTAGTAAACCGAGTGCATATCGATCGCGATCGTTTATCGTTCCGTCGCCAACTCCAGAACATCAAGTTGAAAGTCCCGAGGATTTGAATGCGGACATTAATTCCGCAAATTCTGCGAGTTACGAGAGTAGTCCCAGAAGTGGTCCTAGTCGGTAAGTTCCAATTATTATTTATTATCTACTTATCGATTAAAATGTAAATTCTTGATAAAATTATTTGTAATTCATTTTATTAATTATTTTATTGAAATAATATTTTTATAAAAATAAATATTTTAATAAAACATTTTTTATTTTCTATGGTTTTAGATCAGCATCGTTGAGAGTGAAAGGACTCAGCGGACCAAGAGTGACATTTAGTGATACTCACACAATGTGCCGGTAAATATCGATCATTAGTATTAATTAACGATTATAAATTTTATTATATGAACTTCTTAAGTGCTATGGCAAAGATTTGATGGACAAATTTTTGCCATCGTGCCGATTGCAAAATTTTGACCATCAAATCTTAATTAAATTATCTATCAGTCGAGAAATATCGACTTTATTCAAATAGTATATAAATTTTGAAATAGAATCGGGTTTCCTCCCTTTTTTCACAGGCAATCCTCCCTGCCGAGTGCAGGATCGGAATTGAGTTTACCCGAAAGGGAACTCGATTGGCCGGACACTATTGAAATCGAGGGAGAACAAGTTGAATTGAGAAAGAAACATCGTGATATGAGTGTCACTTCGAGTTACGATAGTATGGAAGGAAATGCGCCTCTTCTTGATTCATTTGGAAGGGAACAAACTTCGACGACATCCTCGCCACATATCGTGCCACAAAAGCCTCAGGAGCCCAATATAGACTTTGAACTTGACGTTAAAGTTTTAATTAACAGTGGAAAATGCGTTCTACACACTAAAGATCCAAAAGAAGACGAACTCAAATTGTAAGTTTTTGTTTGAATTTTTTTTAACGTTATTTTCTTCCCTTACTTTTTTATTTCCTTTTTTTTCTCTTATTTTTTATTTTATTTCTTTAATTTATTCAATCCTTTTATTTTTTTCATTTTTTTAGTTTATTCATGTATCTATATTTTTAAACTCGCAAATATTACGCGCGAAATGTGATATTCAATTTATTATTACATTATGGAAATTACAAAATTTTTTATTTTCAAATATAAAATATTTCGTATATTATTTATTATCAAAATTTAAAAAAATTAAAAAATTCTGAATTTTAAATTCTAAATCGGTAATAATAAGAATCTCTTTATTCTAGATTAACTAGAATGAAAAAAGAACGCTCCTGCTCTGGTGGCAATTTTGAATTCCAGCCAAGTAGTCCTAGTAGTAGCAGAAAACACCTGAGCAGTAAAGATAAATCGGCAACTACAAGTTCAGCGAGATTACGATTCGTTCATCATGCGAGCGTGCCTTTAGTAGATTTGACCATTTTTCACATTCCAGGATTAGATGTTAAGGTAAATTATTGGAAATATAATTTATAGTTAAAGGAGTTTATTGAAAATATAATTTGCAGTTAACATGGTTTATTGAAAATATAATTTACAATTAATATAATTTACAATTAAAATATTTTACCATAAATATAATTTCTAGTTAAGATAGTTTATCGTAATTCAGAAAATTTTCCCAAATGAATGAAAAAAAATTGATTTAAATATTTTTTTTTCCATGACAGATACATTACGAGTCAAAAACACTTCCTGAAGAACCAATATCACCGAGAATTGCCCCTGATCAGAATATACTGAATCCATCGACGTCGAATTTATTAAAGAAGTCGAGCACAAAGAAAGCGAGTCTCTTCGCATGGATGACACTTCAAAGTATTCCAGAAGAAACAATTATCAGTCCACATATCCTTGAATTTCTCGAACAAACACTCGAACCAATTCCAAGTAAACCGTCATTTAATAGTAGTGGACAAACAAATGCGATGTTCCCTCTAGAGAATATGGATAGTTCCTCGTGGGCCGTTTCTGCCGCCAGTGGAAATTATGTTTACTCCAGTTTTCCAGTTGATGTCATCGTTTATTTTCACATGCAGCCCTCCACTTTTCGGTAAGTTCAGAGTTTTTTTTAAAGAGAGAGTTCAGAGATTTTTTTCGTAAATTGTACGATATAATTTGGAGAATTTTGGAAACATTACAAATGATTTTTTTATTTTCTAATATATATGTATTTAATTGAAGAATTTATGAATTTCGTTTTTGCAGATTTTCATGTTTGCCAGTGTCGAGAGTCGAATGTATGTTACAATTGCCGTCGCTGGACATTGTTTTTTCGTCGAAACGCGCCGAGGAAGAAATGACTGAATTTAAAGAATACAAGACAAATAATGCGCTGTCAATGGGCAAGGAGGCTGGTTCAGCTACCGGTGGATTATCAGTGACCGGTTGTCTCGCTGACTTTTCCGTTTATATATTTCACCCCTATGGCGGTGGCAAAAAGTCTGGATTAAAGGAAGCCCAATGGTCCCCATTGTCCGACAGCGAACGAAAAGACTCTCTCAGTATAAATGTTGAATTCGTTAAATTTCATTTGTCAAGAAGTCGAAAACTCAATTTTCCCAATGAACAACTGAAGAAAACTGATTCGAGTCGAGCTGTTATTCGATTCTCAAGTAAGATTTATTTATTTATTAACATTTAAACAGACCGTTTTTTCGTACATTTGTATTTTAGATTTTATATTTAAATCAGAAGTAAATTCGATTTTTTATTTTATTTTCAGCTATTGTTGATATTGGATCGGCGTCATTTAAATACGACATGCGTCGTTTGACGGAAATTCTCGCATTTCCAAAAGCGTGGTATCGTCGTAGTATTGTGAGGCGTCTTTTCTTGGGCGATTTGAGCAGCAGTGCCGCATATTCTGAAGGCGATGGTACACCGCCTTTGAATCAAGAGGAAGCTGTAATGGGAAGTTCACTATTGAAACATCATGAGAGACACGGTGCTGATATACTTTCGAAAAGTGCGCCCGAACGTAGTCCTACATTAAACAGAGATAAATTAAGACTGAGTCTTGAAAATGACATACCAAAACATGCAAGACTGAAAGGTATTTTCTCAACAATTTGAAAATAGTTTTCGAAGAATTTTCTTAAATATTTTAAAATGATCTTGTTTGTTAATAATTGTAATTAAAAATTTGATTATTAAATTTTATAAATGTTTTAAAAGTAATTGAATTCTTTTTAAAAACTTTATTCTGGAGAAGAATTTTATTAAAATTTCGAAAAATAATTGAATTTTGATGAAGAATTTTATTAAAATGGTTAAAAATAAATTATAATTAATGGATTTTTAAGTACCTACAATATTAATTTTTATTGTTATTGTTAATAATTATTTTTGCTTCTTCTTTTCTCGCAGACATTGGAAGAGGATGGAGTTTCACCGCCGAGAAACAAGCACCGTCTGAAGTGAAAATGAGAGAATCAGCTTGGGAGACATTGGTTTTGTTTGCAATTAATTCAACTCGCTTGAATGTTCACATGAACATGGGTAACGTTATGGGAAATGTTTCTTGGATGACGAAGGATTTCCGATCTGACGGTAGATTATCAATTGGCAGCACGGGACATAAGAATTTGTACATTGGCGTTGGTCTCGGTGGTTCTAGCTTAGACGCAAAAGGCGGAATTGTCGGCGGTATTATTGAACTCAGTAAAATTGACACGTACAGTGAGTATTACTAAAAACGATTTTTAATTTTATTGATTTATTTTTGATTGTTTTGATTTTGTGAATTTAAATTTAGTTCACATTCGAGAGGAACCAGGAACTGAGCCCGATCACACTGTGGGTTTAAAACTCTTTGCACTGGAGTTGCGTTTGGATTATATGGGCACAAGTGTTTTAATGAGTCGTGTTTCTTCTCTCGACGTCACTCTGCGGGACGAATGGAAAATTAATAGAAATAATAAAGAGGACGCTTTCATGCCCACGAGAAGGTCTGTTCTTTTTTTTATAATTTCCGTATATATTTTAATAGAGGAATAAAATTCTAATTTCTGTTCTTCGATTTTTAGGCCAGCAATTATTTTCATGCACGGTGATTTGGGTTGGGATCAATTGCAGATAATGATCAGTAAATCGACAACTGCTGATCTGTTGAAAATGTATTACAAATTGGATGAATTTTTCAGTCAACAATTTAAGAGCAGTAAACGTGTGTTTAGTTCGTTGCAACCACGTCATCAGAGAGTTAGCAACAGTAGCTTCAAGAAGAGGCAACAAAAGAAAAAATCAACTACCGAAAGTAAAAATCTTTTGGAAATATTTGAAATGATTTTCGGTAACGTTATGTTTCTTTTTTTTATTTTCAAAATTTAATTCGACAATTTTTCGTTATAGCGAAAAAATTCTTTTCTAACTCTTTTTGGTTTTTTATTCTATTTTCATTTTCTTCTTATTCTTTTTTCATTCTCTTTTTATTCTATTTTCATTCTGTTTTCATTCTATTTTCATTATCTTTTTCTTTTCTTTTTAATCTTTACTTATTTTTTTTCGTGTTTGAAAATTCTTTTTCCGACCTTTTTATGATTGATTTGTATAATTTATCTTTTTTCGACATTTATTTATAATTTATTGAGTGTTATAATTTTTAAATAACTCTAATTGTCTTTATTTTCTAATATATTTTTGAAATTGTTTAATAAAGGTCCGTGGACGATGAATCAGACGGCGATTTCTGATGCACGACATCATCGTCATTGGCAACGTGTCTTGGCGCAAGTAGCTGGCCTCCAGTTGGGAAGTTTGAAATTTTCTCTGCCATCAACTGGAACCGTGCTCGGTGGTACAATGGAACTTCATGGATCCAACATCAGTCTCGCTTGTTTTCACGGCATTAATTTCAAAAGCAAAAATTGGGCTCTGTTCTCCATGAAGGAGCCGTGTATCAGTTTTGCCACTGAAGCTCAAGAAATTCCGAGTGTCGAATGTTAGCTTTTTTTCAATTATAAATTTATAATATTTCTTTAAAATATATTTTTTTAAAGTATATTTTTTTAAAGTATTTTTTTAAAAGCATTTTTTTAAAAGTATTTTTGTTAATGTATTTTTTTTAAAAGCATTTTTTAGCTAAAAAGTATAGTTTTCTTTACTAATTTATTAAAAATCATAGCTTTTAAGTATCTGCTAATAAATAAATTATGTAACAATAAATGATTATTAATTTCAGCGCCGAATACGTGTGACGTTCATATAGTGCAAACTTTAACGATAAGTTTGGGTCAACAGCAAGAGCAACACGCGAGGCATCATTCAATGGCGACAGTTTGCAGGCTCAGTAGAAGCGTTTTATTTCCACCACAATTCAAGACATTACAGGAATGGTTTCATTACGCATTCGCGAGCAGTGAAATCGATGGTATAAAAAATTCTCCCATATTTTTTCTTCTTTAAATTAATTTTTTAAATTTAATTTATTGTTATAATTATATTAATATTGTATTTAATTTATTGATTTTTTAAATTTAATGTATTAATTAATTAATTAATTAATTAATCATTTTAATATCATTTTCAATTAATTTCTTTATTTTAGTTTTTTACATTAATTATAATATTTTATGTATTTACAGCTGTCGATCGATTCCCGTGTGTTGAACGCGAAAGAACGGACAGCACCTCTGAAAGTGCAAATCCAGTCCGCGGGAGAAGTACATCAACAGCTTCTGGCAAATTACAGGAACATTCTCACACCAGGGAAGTGATATTTGCTCTCCCCTCGTTGCAATTGCACTTGAAAACCGAACATTTGCAAAGTGCGAAAACGCCAGATGTTATTGGTAAGTTTGAATTTATTTTCAGAAAATTATAAAGTAGTTATTTTTTTTTAATTTCTAACTCAAATCACCTTAGCTTTTCTCTAAACTCTAATAGTTATAAACGTCATTAAATTATAATAGTAATAATATAATAGTCATTAAATTAAAAATTGGAAATTAGAAATTAGAAATTCTTCAATGAATTTTCTATCTGCAATATTCTTCTCTCTATATTTTTAGGACTGCCTAAACATATTTTATATAGTAAGTACTTGAGAAAATGAGTTGCACTGTCAGCTTTAATATAGAAAGTTTAAGAAAAAAATTTATTTTTTATTTTATATTATAAATATTATAGTTGTAGCGCATTAATTCGCATGATGCAAAAGTTATTAATTCTATTTTCTCCCATTGTCAATTCGCATGCAGTTAATTGCATTTTTCCAATGTTGATGAAGTTCACAACGTTTATAATCAAGGATTTAGAAGAAAACAAATTTTTGTAAATTAGTACAAAAAATTTTTCGTGTAGTTTTTTTAAAATGGAATTTATATTTTTATTGATATTACATTTTTGTCAAAATGTTTGGTATCGTTTTTTATCAATTATAATTAAAAAAGAAAAATTTGTATTTTCGTCACGAAAAATATTTTTATAATCCTTGATCACAGTCGTGAACTTCAACGACATTTACTTCGTATGTGAATTATAATAAAAGAATTTCTTTTTTGAATAAAAAAAAAATTATTGATTGAATAATGTTTTAACTAGTTGATTGACTAGCGTTAATTTAAAAATACGAATAAAGTATAATTTTATAATTATGTTTTATATTTTCTTTTCTATTTTTTCTTTTCTATTTCTTATTTTATATTTTTCTTTTGTAAATTAATAATTGATCTCTTTAAGAGTATATTTTTCATTTCTATTGAGAAATATTAGTTTCTAGTGTTTAATGCTGTGAATTTTAAATTGAATAAATATTTTTTTCGAAAAGGTGAGAAGCCATTGGTGGAGTGCAGCTTTATTACAGAATTTGAAGATCATATTTTTGTGACTGTGGATGCCGAAGCCTTTTTCTTTTTACACGATCTTATCTCCTCGTATGTCAAGGAGAAAGAGAGAGTGGTGAATATTAAACATTTTGCTATTAATTTATATTTAATATTAATTTTTTTTCATTTCTTTCGTTGAATATTAATCAAAAATAAATTGAAATTGCAGAATTATGGAGCAAGAGCGCACAGTCCCGAGGCTCCGGAAAAGAAAAGCGCAACCACCAATACAAGCACTTCGAGTACGTCAACGATTTCCGAAGACGAGAAGAAAAGAAAGCAGTACGACCCTACAGAAATGTTCATCAAAGACTGGCGATCGTACAGATGTAAAACTTGGCATCTCGAACCAACTGTCAGGTTAGAAAAAATTTTCGAATAATTTTACAATTAAAAAAAAATTCGTAAATAAATGTAATATAACATTTTTTTGAGTATCTAATACTTTTTTGAGTGAATCATAATATTCTTCAGGGCACAGGGATAAAGTCAAAATTTTGTCTGGAATTTAGGGAAAAGTTAAGGAAAAACGAAATTAAATTTTTGTGGCAACCCTGAAAAATCTTACTTTTATAAAATTCTTTCTAAAATCAATAATTAATTTTATGAATAATAAATTCTAAAGTTGGTAAAATTCTGTTCATAAAGATTACTATCATGGGCTGGAAAGAGTATCGAGCCCTATGGTATCGACTACATTCTTCAAAAATTGGGCTTCTCTCATGCACGCACGACAATACCAAAATGGATTCAAAGAGGATACATGGACCCAATGGATAAAGTTCTCGCCGTTCTTATGCTGAGAATGGTCTTGGCAATTCGCGAAGAACCTGTCGAGGACAAGGAGCACAAGAAGGAAAAATCGTGAATGCCACCAATCAACGATCTTAAATTATAAAAAAAAGAAAAAGAAACAAACAAAAGACACATATAATACAGAAGAGGGAAAAAAAGGTCTGTATGATATTAATTTTTTGTGATATAAAGTCCAAATTTTCAATTAAAAAACAAAAAGGAAAAAACTAGTCTAGAAAATTGCTTCGTGAATATATCAGAGTCATAAATAGAATCAACGACTGTGAATTTTCCATTCACGTATACATATTTAGTGTTCAATATTTATAATTATATTATAATTATATACCGAGAAGAATAGACGAGAGAGAAAAAAAAGAGGAAAATATATATTACAAGAAACAAAAAAAATATATAAATATATATTAATATATCATCGAACAAGTGATAAAAATAAAATGGAAAGGCGATTCGTAGTTAGCCATTCCACATAAACACACAGAGAGAAATTGTATTGATAGGACGAAAAAACGTCGTCGATCTTTCTCGTGATGCAATTGCGTTTAGATGAATGTGATATGTTAACAGTGCAAATTTCATATTTCTAGTGGTTGTACAATTCGAATGAATCTGTGATTTATGAATGAAAGATAAAAGAGCAAAGAAAAAAAGAGAGAAATGAAAAAAACCACCCAAATGTGGTTCACCGTGTCTTTAATCGTATTTTACTCTAAGTGTCACAAAGTAGAGATCATTATGTATTTGTATATATATTTGGGTGGAAAGTGATGATCATTCTAAAATTTTAATGCTAGAAATTAGTTTTCGATTTTTCGTAATTCGTAAACAGTTTTCGTCTCGAAAATGAAATTCAATAAATGAAAATCGACTTTTTATTGTAAAATAATTTTTGTTTATTATTAAATAGTAAATTTTTGTTTATTACTCAGTTGAAATTTTTAATTCATAAAGAAATTTATTTATTTATATTTTTGAATAACAATCAATTTCTGTTAATTTTGAAATAACAATAAATTCTTCTTTATTATTAATTAATAATAAATTTCAATTTATTATTGAATGTTAATAAATAGAATAATAGAAAAAAATTAATTTCTTCATTCCTAATTAATAATAAAATATTTATTAAACACAAATTTTCATTTATTATTGAATTCAGTTATTATTAAATTCATTTTCGTTTATTATTAAAATAAAAATAGATTTTCATTTATTTATTTTCGAATAAAAACAGATTTTCATTTATTAATTTTCGAATAAAAACAGATTTTCAGTTATTGTTGAATGAAAATAAATTTTCAGTTATTTAATAATAATACATTTTTATTTATTATTAAATAATACATATTTTCATTTATTATTGAAATAATAATTAATTCTTGTCTATTGTTAAACTGTAAAAATTTCACTGTTTTTTTTATTTATTTAAATTCATTCTTGAAAAAAGAGTTTCAAAAATTTGAAATAATTTCAAATTTCTTTGCGAAAAGTAAAGAAAAAAAATTACACTTTTCTATATATATATATATGTATAAAATGTGTAATTAAAAATTCTCTCGAAGAAAAGATTTTTTTCCACGTGCCTCGTTTTTTATATACACAAAAATATAAAAAAAAATTAGTAAATTGTGAAACGTCAAAAAAATCTTTTCATCGATATGTAATAATAATAATAATTATTCGTTAATATTAACATGCACTTTGTAAAGGAAAAAAAATATTAATATGGTGCTACCTTTTTATTATGTATAGGACATCGAATTGTTTATATTTGTTTAATTTTAATCCATTATAAATATATATAGGCATGACAGCATATCAATAAGTAGTGAATAATTTTGCAATTCAAAAAAAAAGAAGAAAAGAAAAGAAGATCTTCATTAAACCGCTTTTGCCTTCTAGCGCAAATAAAAATTGTGTTTAAAAACAATTTTATTTGAAAAGAAGAACAAAAAATGTAATTAGCGTCAATATTAAGTAGATTTTTTGCGAAAATTACTTTTTTGTTTTTCTTTTCATTTATGAAAAATTCACGTGTGTATAGATTTGAACTATTTGCCAACACTCGAATTTATTTCTTTTTTAAATAATGTTTTATATAAATAATTAGTCAGGAAAAATTTGTCATCTTCGTCATTGAGAAATATTATTTTAGTCGAATGTTTTTAGACAAATTATTATTAATTTTATAATTATTATTATCATTATTATTATTATTATTGTTGTTATTATTATTATTATTCCGAATATTGTAATTTTTCCGAATAATAATTTTTATTATTATTGTTATTAATTTCTTCGATAGATTTTGCTCAAAATATGCAAAAACACAATAGACTTATTGAAGGGAAAAAAAAGTTCTAATTTACGGTATATAATTATATTTTTTGAAACTTATTTTCTATATTCTATTTTTAAGCGTTTGTCCATTAATTTTATTATTTTTTTATAAATAAAATGAACAGGGTGTTATAAATATTTTAATTAATAATAAATAATGTTTATTATTTGTATAATAATTAAGTTTGATGATTTATCAAACTATGAATAATTTGTTTTATTAGTTACTATTAATAAGAGTTTGTAAATAATAATTTAATTGTAAATTTATTAAATTTAAGATTTATACGTGATATATCTTAGTGTTTAATTTGTAATTATTAAAATCCGAAAATTATTATTTAAATTATCAGGGTTACCATATACGACTTCTTCTTAGACCAAAATATTATTAATATTAATAATAAAAAAAAATAATAATAATAATAATGATAATAATAATAATATTAATAATAATAAAAATAATAATAGTAATATTAATAATGAAAAGTGGTTTTGCTAATTTTAATCAAGATGATTTTTATATTTTTCTGTGAAATGTGAAGCTTATACTTCCAATTTTTGCGTCTGGAAGAAAACTATTCGTCACTTACAATAGCTGAATTATACAATCGTATACATATTATACATAAATATTTGTTGATAATTTATGATAATAAATCAAGAAGCAAGTTTTATGAAAATAATGTTTTTTCATCTGTTTAAAATTACTTCTTTTAAAATTATTTATTAATAATTTAAAATTCATAGTTTTAAATTTATTTTTCAATTAAATTTATTATTTTTTGATAATTGATTACTTTTTTTATTAAACAATTTAAATATTTACCGCCTTCGCGTTTTTTTGAAATTCTCGAAAATGAAAGATTCGATATTTAGCCAACTTCACAATGAAAGTGACAGTTGGTGTTCGTCCTACTTTTGAGGTTAGTTCGTGTTTATACTTGTGATACTTGTCAAAAGCGCAATTTTCTTTTTTTTTTCGAAAAACGAAATGTGAATATTAAAAATAGTGAAAGTGTCTAGAGGAGTGAAATCCTCGTTAATTGGAAATTGATTTAGAAAAGCAATGTATGGAATTGTGTGTTCAACATTTTAATATAAAAGAAAAAAGTCATGTTTTTTCCAATAGGTTGGCCGCGAGTATTAAACTCGTCAGAGCCTGAGAAAATTCGTGCTGTTGTTTGTAATAGAGATAAAATCCTATTTTCTATTCTCACATCAAATTCATTAGCCATCTGGTATTGTAAGGTAAGTTTTTTTATTTAGAAAATTTTGTTTATTGTTCTTAAGGTTATAATTCTGTCCACGTCACTAAGTTTGCACAATCATATGAGAGTTCTACTTATTATATATATACATATATTTATTCAATTTATTCTCGAAGAATTTTTCATTGTATTTCATGTATTTAAACAGTTCACAGTGTTTACGTAATTGACAGTAAATATTACAACATGAAAAGTAAATGGAAGCTTAATTTAAAGAATTTTTTTTCTACTTGCTGATGTTTGAATATTAAAATTTTGTTTTATTTACAGCCATGTGTTCCAATTGTTTTTATCAGACGTCCACCCGAGTCCTTAGAAAAGTACGGAGAAAATACTTTAATTCAATGGAGGCCGGATTCCAGTATGTTGGTGATTTCTGTAAGTAATATCCAAGAAAGTATATTAATCTTGTGTTTTGGAAAATTGTTTCTAATTTTTGAATTTTTCCTGTTTAGACTTCTGACAGTTATTTATTATTTTATCGTCTATCCTACAATGGTCCGGATGCTCACGGTCTCTATGAGCAGCGAGATTCTCCAGTTACGAGTTTAAGACGTGACAGTGCCGAATTATTCATCAAAGAAGTTATTCCATCGTTGACATTAACCTTCGTAAGTCATTTAATTCATTTTATTTCAATTCTTAAACGTTTTTTCATTTATTAGACACATTTTTCTTTATTTGTTACTAGCAAATGTTACGCGCGGAACGTGATATTCAATTTATTATTATGCAAATTACAAAATTTTTTATTTTCAAATTTAAATTCATATTTACTTATATATATTTGCAAAAATTCTAATATAATTCTTCGCAAGAATTCAATTATTTTCATAAATAATGACATTCTTCTCAGGAATTCAATTATTTTTAAAAAATCGAATAAAATTCTTCGCAGCAATTCAATTATTTTCAATACAATTTTAATGAAATTTCACGAAAAAAATCAATTATTTTCTAAAATTTGAATAAAACCATTGAAACAATTCAATTATTTTTTAGTCTTTGCAAACATTCAATTATTTTCAATTATTATAATGTTTTCCTTCTCGTTTCCTTCTGGTTATTTAAAATCTTTTTTTCTGTAAAATTCCTAAAAAAATTCCTCAATTTTCAAAATGTTTAATAAATTTCTTGAAAAATATTTAAATATCATCTTTAAAAATAAAGAAATTTCAATTATAATTCCCAAATTCAATTATTTAAAAAATAATTAAAGTAATTCTAAAATTAAGTTAATCTCAGAAATTCAATTATTTCTAAAATTGTCTGTAAAATTTATTTTAAAAATTTAATTATTTTCAAAATTTTTAAGAAATTCCTTGTTAAATATTAAATTATATGTATTCTAGAAAAATTAGAAAATGATACAATTTGTTTATAAGAATTTAATTATGTCAATTCTTTAATAAAATTCTTGAAAAATTAAATTTCTTTTTATAGAATTTGAAAACTAATTTTTCAGAATTTTAAATTTTTTCCAATTTTTAGTAAATTTTTTCGAAAGAAATATTTAATTATTTTCATCAAAATAAAATTTCTCGATAGAATACAATTTATTATTTTTAAAAATATTAAATAAAATTCAATTATTTTCAATAGTTTTGATATAAAATTTTTAAGAAAAATTAATTATTTTAAACGTTTTAGTAAAAGTTTTTGATTGAATCCAATTATTTTCAAAATTTGTAATAAAATTCTTTTAAAACATTTAATTATTTTTAAAAATTATGATAAAATTTTTTAAAAATCAGAATATTAATTGAAAAATTTTAAAAATTAAAAGATAATTATTAAAAAAGTTGGGAAACAAAAAAGCAAACAGCAACTAATATAGATAGATGTTAATAAATTTTCTTTTAGTTGTTGAAGACAAAATTTAATTTAAAGCGAAAAAATCTGTTTTTAATTTAAAACAAAAATTAATTGTTTCAGGAAAAATCGGCATGGATCGATGGAGGAATAAGTTCCTTGGTTTGTATCCGAGATGAACTTATGGTAGCGACAAAAACGAGTCACATTCTTCGGCATAAATGGGACGGAACAGTGAATCGTGATTATTCTCTGGATTTGGGTAGAATTCCATTTAGTGTCGATCAACAAATTTCAACTGTCGCTGTACCAATTACGGAAAATAATGTGTTTGTAAAGGACATTGAATATTCACCACTTGTTGGAGGATTTGCCATAGTGTTAAGTAACGGAAAGGCAGCATTTTTAACCGCCCAATCTCTTAAATTCGATCCAAATGTAATTATTTAATTTTTTTCCACACGCATATTTTCACGAATAGAATAGAATTTATTGTTTATATTTTCTTTTTTCTTTCTTTCTAGCAAGTGCAAGGTATCTGGGCGAAAGATTTAGATGACGCAACTTGTGCCGCTGTTAATCATAAATATCGCTTAATCGTTTTTGGTAGAAGAAAGTAATTATCGTTTTCTCTTAATTTTCTTTTTTGATTTTCCCTCTTAATTCAAATTTTTATATAGTACTGAATATGCTCGAACGAACGAAATTCTAATTTTATTATTCAAATATAGTGCCAAGTGTAATAGAAAATAATTTAGTTATAAATGTCTAACTTTTTTATGTTTATCATAATAATTATATAGTCAGTAATTTATAGTCAATTTACTTTATTTTTCAGTGGTCAATATTTATATTTTAAGAAATATTTCGTTTATTTCAAGATAGAGAAATTTTTTAATATAATTTTTTCAAAATGTGAAATTTTCTTAGTGTGGATCTTTTTTTTTTTTGGTTTTTGCAAATGAACTGTGCTTTAAATTTTGTGTATGTTTTCTGAATAGTTCCGAAGGCGTCGTTTATTATGTAGATGAGACAACGGGAGGACTGGAGATCTCTCATAATCTTAGTTTATCATCGAAAGATTATCCAGGAAAACCGGGTCAAGTGACTTGTTTAAGATGGACACCAGATAGTTGTGCAATAGCAATGGCTTGGGAGGGCGGTGGCCTCGCAATTTGGAGTACATTCGGAGCACTTCTTCTTTGCTCATTAAAATGGGATTACGGTCTTAGAGTCGATCTTGCTCGTGACAATCCTCTTCACATTCAAACTATGGTAAATTTTCCTCTCCTTCGTTCACTAATTCAGCTCTCTGAATAATTAAATATTATTATTATTATTATTATTATTATTATTATTATTATTATTATTATTATTATTAAATTTATTATAATTATTTATATTCTTTCGTAAAATTTCATTAAAATGTATTGAAAATAATTGAATTCAATTAACATATTTAAAAATAATTGTATTCTTTCTAGAAAAAATTGTATTGAAAATAATTGAATTCTCTCGAAAAACTTTGTTAAAATTTTTGAAAATAATAATCAATTTTCTATTTTTCAGGAATGGTCCGCGGAAGGATATCAATTATGGATGTTGCGTGAATCTCCATCACCCTCAACGATAGAACAAAATGGAAATGAAGTTAGCAATACGAGAACTTTAATTCAAATGGATTTTGCAAAAAGTCCCTTAACTGTTAATCCTTGCATGGTGAGGTTTTTTTAATTGTTTTTCACAAAGTTGAATTTATTAAATTAATTTTTGATAAATTATTGACAAAATTTGTTTTTTTTTAACTAAAGGGTCATCATGGTCATTTGTATCTGCAAGGTGAGGATCGTCTTTATTTAAATTTAGGAAGCGGTGTATCGACTCAAACTGGAAGTTTTCATCTCACAAATGAAACGCCTTTGGATAGTTCCTTACAGACATTTTCTGGTTCAAAGCAGTGGTTAGTTGTTCCTATTCCAATTGCCTACAGCGGCTCCAATTGGCCGATTCGAGTAAGTTGGAAAATTTTTCTGTTTTTATTTTCTAAATTACTTTATCAGGGTTGCCACAGGTCAGGGAAATCAGATTTTTATTAAAATTACTGGAAAAAATTAAAATGTTTAGAATTTATAAGAAGATTATGAATTTTTGTGTCTTTTTTGTTTGCCTCATAAACTATGAAATTACCACGAATTCTAGATAAAACCTTAAATTTTTTCTACTTCTGACAATAATTTATTTTAAATAACTTAATTCTACTGAAGAACTGCCATAAAATTATTACTTATAAATCATTTAATGAAGAATTCTTTTGAAAAATTTTAATATCAATTCTGTTAAAAATAGTTTCAATTTTAAAAATTTTAACGCAATTCAATTATTTTCAAAAATTTTAATAAAATTCATGGCAAAATTTCAATTATTTTCAAAACTTTTCTTAATTCAATGATTTTCAATATTCTATTTTAATAAAATTTCCCAAAATAATTGAATTAATAAATAAAAATTTTGATAGAATTCTATACGAACCGTCAATAATTTAAAAAAAAAATTTCATAGAAATTTAATTATTTAAAAGAGAATTTTCATAAATTTTTTCGAAGAAACCAAATGTTTTAAAATTTGGCATTAAAGTCATCGCAGTAATTCAATTATTTTCATAAATTTTAAAATTCAATTACATATTTTCAAAAGTAATAAAATTCAACTATTTTCAAGAATTTTAATAAAATGCATTGCAAACATTCAATTTTTTTTCTATAATTTCTTTAAGTTCAATAATTTGTAAATTTATTGTTTTATTAAAATTTCCCAAAAGAATTCAATTATTAAAAATAGAATTTTTATTTATTTTTTCGAAAAAATCAATTGTGTGAAACTTTTTTTTTTAAAATTGAATTCTCGTAGAATTTTTTAATAAAAATTGATTTAAAAATTAATTTGAGTTAAAATTTTGGATAATAATTGAATTTTTGAGAATTTACTAATAATTGCAATTTTTAGAAATAATTTAATTTCGTAAAGGTTTCAAATTAAAAGCTTCATGAAATTCTAAATTTTTCATAATTTGAATAAAAAATTCTATGGAAATAGTTTTTTTGCAGAAAGCGTAATAAAAATTTTTGAAAATTATTTCAAACTTTTATTTTCTAATATATATTTAATTGAAGAATGTCAGAATAATCGAAATTTAATGGAAAATTTAATTGTAAACAAATGGATTTAAAAATTCTCAAGAAGAACTTTTTTAAAAATTATTAAAATCTAATTGATTTTAAAGATGAATTTTATTTAAAAATTGTAGAAAATAATAATTGAATTGAAATGATTTTTAGAGTGAATTGCAGAAAATTCTTTAGGGTGAGGGAAAAAATCAAAACTTTGTCTGGAAATCAGAGAAAAACAAAATTAAATTTTTGTGGCAACCTTGTTTTTTTATTTTTTTTCCTATTTATTGTCTTTCTTTTGTTTTTTTTCCTTTTTCAATTGTCTTTTTCCTCTTGTTTTCAGTTTACGGCAATTGACAATGAAGGTCTCAGTATTGCAGTCGCAGGACGTACGGGATTAGCGCATTATTCACTTCCTTCGAGAAAATGGAAATTATTTGGCAATGAAACGCAGGAACGTGATTTTATAGTAACTGGTGGATTATTGTGGCATCGTGGTTCTCTTATTGTCAGTAGTTATTCACTATTGGAGGATAAGGATGAGATAAGAATTTATCCACGTGATATGCGTTTGGATAATAGTTATGTGAGAAGTATAAAAATGCCCTCACAAGTTCTCTTGCTCAATACAACGAAAAATCATCTTCTAACATTTTGCGCCAACGCTCAAATAAGTATCTACGATATGGTACTCGATGGCAAAGAAGGTTCGGGGAGTCTCGAATTAATAAGAACGCAAACAATTGATATCAGTGGACTTTGCGTGCATCCTGCTTGCGTTGTCAGTGCAACATTGACGACAATTCGCGCCGAAACTGCCGGCAGTCATCCACATCCCGAGAGTCTTTTGCTAAACGTTTCCGGAAGACTTTTAATGGTACAACGTGAACATTGCACCGACAATTCAGAAGTGGTGAGAAATATTTCTTTCGAAATTCAAATTATTTTAAATTGAATTTTAATTTCAATTTTAGTTTAAAATATTAAACTCTGAACTTTTGTATTTTTTCAAAGCTGTTTACTTGCGGAGCTCCGAATGTGTTGGCGTCTTGTGTCGAAAATGTGTGGGTGCCTTGGCGTTCAAGACGTGATAAACCTCATTTAACGGAAGCCCTTTGGCTGTTTTGCGGAGCTCATGGAATGCGCGTTTGGCTTCCATTATTTCCTAGAAATCAACAAGACAAAACACACACATTTATGAGCAAAAGGATAATGCTGCCGTTTCATTTGAGAATTTATCCGCTGGCTATTTTGTTCGAGGAGGCAATTTTACTCGGCGCTGAAAATGACACCGTTCTCTATACTTCCGACACACATTCCCTATTTTCACTTCCATTCTCTTTACTCGAACTCACGGTACGTTTTTTCAAAAATTAATTCTTTATTAAAAACTAGCAAATATGCGCGAAACGCGGTATTTTATTTATTATTAGTTTGCAAATTTTAAAAAATGTTTTATTTTCAAATATTAGTTTCAATTTCAAAATAATTTTGGATTCAAAATTAAAAAAAAATTCAATTATTAACTATTAAATTTTCTATTGAATTAAATTTCAAATAAAATTTAATTTGATTTAATTCGTTTTAAACCCTGTTTATAGAGTCAAGTTTACCTGCATCAAATTCTACGACAATTAATTCAACGAAATTTGGGCTATCACGCATGGGATATTGCAAGATCGTGTTCGGCTTTGCCGTATTTTCCGCATTCGTTGGAATTGCTTTTACATGAGGTTCTCGAGGAAGAGGCAACCAGCAAGGAACCAATACCGGACGCTCAATTGCCATCGGTTGTCGAATTTATTCGCGAATTTCCCGGTGTTTGGGCACGAGCTGTTGTACAATGCGCGAGAAAAACTGAAATTGCCCTCTGGCCCTATCTATTCTCAGTCGCTGGACCACCGAAAAAATTACTGCAAGACTGTCTACAACGTCAGGAACTTGACACGGCAGCGAGTTATTTAATTATTTTACAAAATTTAGAGCCGTCGTCGGTGAGTCGACAGCACGCTACATTATTACTCGACGCTGCTTTAGAGCAGGGACGATGGGAATTGTCTAAGGACTTGGTGCGCTTTCTAAGGGCGATTGGTGAGTTTCTTTGTCTTTTCAGATTCTTACAAAATCTATATTAATAATCGTTGTATTCCGGTAATCCATTTAAATATTTTTAATTTTTAAATTAATGTACTAAAAATTATTTAATTCTTGGCCAGATTTTTATTAACATTCTTTAAAATAATTGAATTGTTTTGAAGAATTTATTTCAATTATCCTGAAAATAATGGATTTATTTTTAATAATTTTTACTAAAAATTTTAAAAGTAATTGAATTTTATGAAGATTTTCTTTTAAATTTTTAAAATAATCGTGTTTATTATAAATTGTAATTAATAATTATCATATTAAATTATATTAAAATTATTCATAGAAAATAAAACTTTTTTAAACAATTTTATTAGAGTTTTTGTAAATAATTACATTTTTTTAAAGAATTTCATTAAATTTCATAAAAATTATGTATTTTTTAAAATAATTTTAATTGGAAATTTTGAAAATAATTGAAATTTACAAAGAATTTTGTCAAAAACTTTTAAGAACAATTGAATTGTTTAGAAAAATTTTATTTCAATTTTAAAAAATAATTAAACAAATTAGAGACATTTTTTAAAAATTATCTTGAATATAATTTAATTTTTCTTCTAGAGATTTCATTAAAATTGTATTGAAAATAAATGAATTTCTCAGAAGAATTTTATTATGTACAAAAATAATAAAATTTGTCAGAAAAATTTTATTATTATTCACAAAAATAATTGAATTCTTGACAAGAATTTTACAATTTATAAAAATAATTGAATTGTTTCGAAGAATTTTATCAGAATTATTGAAAATAATTGAATTTCTATTAAAACTCTTGAAAATAATTGAATTTAAATAATATTTTTAAAAATAATTGTATTTTTTACAGAAACTTTATTAAAATTGTATTGAAAATAATTGAATTCCTCCGAAAACCATTTTAATATTTATATAAATAATTTAATTCTTTTGAAGAATTTTATTACTTATGAAAATAATTGAATTCTTGCAGAGGATTTTCCAATTCATAAAAATAATTGAATTGTTTCGAAAAATTCTATCAGAATTTTTGAAAAGAATTGAACTTTTTTAAGGAATTTCATTAAATAATTGAATTTATATTAAAAGTCTTTAAAATAACCGATTTTAATTAATATTTTTATAAATAATTGTATTCTTTCGAGAAATTTTATGAAAATTATATTGAAAATAATTGAATTATTGTCAAGAATTTTACAATTTATAAAAATAATTGATTTGTTTCGAAGAATTTTATCAGAATTCTTGAAACTAATCGAATTTAATTAATATTTTTAAAAATAATTGTATTCTCGCGAGAAATTTTATTAAAATTGTATTGAAAATAATTGAATTACTCTATAAAATATTATTATTTATGAGAATAATGAAATTCTTACGAAAAATTTTATTAAAAGTTTTGAATAATAATAAACAAGAATATTTATTATTATGTACTTTGGGTTGTAAAATTTACTTGAATTTTTAGATCCGAATGATGTCGAGTCGCCGCGAACTTCTTGGGGGGCGACATCGAAATTAGGAGGACCACCGCCAACGCCTCCGATTTCGTCTCAGGAGGAGGATTTGTCTCTTGTTTTAGGGACAATGCAGGTTTCAAGAAGTCGCAGTTACAGTACGACAGTTTCTCCGAAAACGCCGACAGAAACCGGAAGTAAAGATCAAACGCCATCGTCCATGTTGGAGAAGACGAAAAACGTTGTCATGAGGCGGAAAAAGTCGGTGCCAAGTGTCAAAGCCGAAAAAACTGACAACAAGTTAGTAAAACGAATTTTTCGATGACTTTTTGTTTTCTACTGTTGATGAGAATCGGGGGAGGAATTTAATTTCTTCTTTTTCACTACAGAGAAGTGTTGATAAGAATCGGAGGAGGAATTTAATTTTTTCTTTTTTTACAACAGAGAAGGATCGGCGGAGGAATTCTTCATTGATGTGATTCTTCAGAGGCACGCGCGACGATTACTGTCGGCCCGACGTTTAACAGATCTCGGCCGTTTTGCGGCGCGTTTGGATTTTCATTTAGTGACATGGTTGGCGCGCGAGAGAGATCGTGCAGCTAAATTGGATGATTTTGTCGTTGCCTTGAAAGCCGTCCACGAAGATTTTATCTTTCCCTATCCGTTAATGAATTTGCCGTCTTTAAATAAATTACGAAGATCGAGTGTCACCTCGTCGCCACTCGACAGTCCAGACGATGTTTTAAATCCAAATATGGCTGTCGATTTTCCCGACAGTGGATACACGAGTTTACCGAGTAGTCGACCGCCGTACACGAGTTTAATTTCACCAGTTGCGAGTCTTGAGACGCAATTTCCGGTCACCGAGGCAAATCTCACTCCGCACATGCTGCAAGGTTATTATTCTTATAGAAAATAAATCTTTTGAATTTTTGTTAAATTGATTTTGTAAATTTAATTGTAAATTGTAAATTAATTGATTTTGTAACTAATTAGCTATTAATTGATTGATTTATTAACTAATTAATTAAAATTTTTTGTTTTTTTGAAAACAGATACGAGCAGTGTGATAAGTGACACGAGTACAGTTTGGAAGGACGACATTGAATCTATTGTTGGAACGGGAGTGGGAACGAATTGCTGGGTCGCAACGGAACCGATAGAACCGATTGAAATTCATGTTCCTTCGCCTGTGGGTCCGGTAAGTCGTGCGGAGGTTCAACTTTGTTATCTTCTGCAATTGTTCCTTGAAGCTGGATGCCTTGGATGGGCCGCTGTTTTGGCTACCGTTTTGAGAGACGCGCCGGCAATGTCGAGAACCGTCAGAGCGGCGTACGCACCAATGCAAACTCTCGAATCTGCAATTAATTTGCGAGACGGTCTTCAATTACTCACCCGATGGTCACAAAATGAATGGTAATTTTCAATTCCTAAATTAATACCAAATTAATTACTAAATTAATACTAAATTAAAAAAAATAAATTCTTAATACTGAAATTTACTAAAACGCTTGGATCTTAACGGTACAAAAAACTAATAAGAAAACAAATTATAAAAGTAGGAAAACATTTATTAGGAAACCGGCATAGAAATTAGAAGCTAATCGATAGAAGATTATTTTGTCTCTTAAATAAAAGAAACACCGGTTCGAGTCTTCTTTTCAAAAGTAGTAAGTGATTAGGTTGTTAATCTGCTCGGCGACAAATTGTCTACAAAGCTGAATTGTATTTTAATGATTTTCTTCGCACTTTCGTGGTCATCCAATTTCTTTCAAAAATCTGTTCAATATGATTAACAAATGATTAACAAATGATCAATAAGAAAATCTCAATTATCCTTTATTTTCAATTTTAAAAAAGAATTTTTTTCAACTTAAAAAAAAAATTCTTTTTTCAATAGAAAAACTTTTTTAAAAAGGAAATTATTTTTTCAAGTTAGAGAAAAAATTCTTTTTTCAATTTCAGGCTTCGTACTCATCTAATAAAATCTACTATTTACTACTTTTTATTACAATTTGCTAAATTATTTGAATACTTTTTTTTAAAGTGACACTAAAAGCTACTTTTTTCTATGTTTGAAAATTTACTTTAAATTCGCTAATAGTTGGAATAAAAAAATTATTTTCAAAAATTTTAATAAAATTCTTAGAAACAATTTAGCAATTATGTTAATAAAATTCTTTCAAACTATTCAATTATTTTCAAAAAATTTAATAAAATTCTTCTTAAGAATTTAATTTATTATTTTTACAAATACTAAATTTTTCCCTAGAAATTCAAGGATTTAAAAAAATAATATAATTCTTCGCAAAATTTCAATTACATTCATGTAAATAATAAAATTGTTCCTTGGATTTTAATTATTTTCAAATTAAATTTTAATTGTATTTATCGAAAAATTCAATTATTTTAAAAAATTTTATTGAAATTTCTTGATAGAATTAAATTATTTGCAAAAATTTATAAGAATTCAAATTTAAAAAATATTCGATTATTGAATTAATTATTTACTTTTGTATTTAAATAATTGAATTTTCATAGAATTTTTTTGTAAAAATTGATTTAAATAATTGAATTTTCATAAAATTTTTTTTGTAAAAATTAATTTAAAATTGAATTTTATTTAAAATTTTAGATAATAATTGAATTATTTTCAATATTTACTATTTTAATGAAAAATTTCCCAAAAGAATTCAATTATTTAAAAGAAATTTAATAAAATTCTTAGCAAAAATTTAATTATTTTTACAAATATTAAAAGTTTCTTCAGAAATTCAAATATTTAAGAAAAAATTGTATAATTCTTTCCAAAATTCAATTATTTTAAAAATTTTTTGATAAAGTTAGTTAGAATAATTTAATTTTAAGAAATATTCAATTATTCAATAAATTATTTATTTTTGTATTTTAATAATTGAATTCTCATAGAAATTTTTTGATAAGAATTGCTTTAAAATTGAATTTCGGTTAAAATTTTAAATAATAATTGAATATTAAAAGAGTTATTAGTGTGAATTTTTAGAAGTAATTTAATTTCAAAAGATTTGATTATTTTCAACAAATAATTATTGAATTTTGAAAGAATTTTAATTCCTGTGGAAAAATAAATAAGTATTTAAATATTTATTAAAAAAAAAATTATTCTTTTTATTAATTATTATTATTAATTATTATTTTATTATTTTATTAATTATTCTTTTTTTGAATGTATGTAATTTAATTTAGAAACAATGAAAAAATTGAGTCATCAAATTTAATTTTTCGTTAGCAACTTTTTAAAATATTTTTTTCAGTCTTAAAGCTAATTTTTTAAAATTAATTATCGAGTACAAAGCCTGCAATTTAAAAAGAGAATTCCTTTTAAATTAAAAACAGAATTTAAAAATAAATAATAGAAGAATATTTTTATTTAAAAACAATATAGGTATTTATTTAAAATTTAGAAGATATTTAAAGAAATTTAGAATTTATTTAAAACGATTGAAATTTTGTTTTAGCCTGAGATACAGATCGTTCATGTCCGGAATTCAGGGTCAAATATCGTTGCTCAATCGTCTAATTATGACGAAACAACAACAGGAACAAGAGATTCCAGAGAGTCCATCGCCGAGTCCTGCGCCTTCTTCTGGAAGTCAACCACGAGGTAATGTTTCTTCACGTTCTCGACATTCGTCAATAAGTCACACATCAACAACTGCTCTCGAGGAGGAAAATTCTTTAGACTCACCGACAAGTGTCGAAGACACTAGTTTTCGAGGTAGTCACAGTAGTTTAAAAGATTTAGAAACTAATTCACAAACCGGATGTGTTGTTTCATAAAATTTCTTTTTTTCTCCCTCTCTATCTCTCTCTCTAGTATTTTACTTCGACTTGAACAATTTCTCCTTGTTCTCTTTTTTTCCTTTCGATAAATAGTTCGAAAAATCGAAAACGTCTCAAATATCTTATTAAGGGGCCCACAAGATTCTAATGCTCAGTTTTTGAAAATTGAAAAAAAAATAATTTTCAAAAGACCAGAAATTTTGAAATCAAAAAAAAAAAAAAAAAACTCATAAAGGCTGAAAAAGAAACTATAATTTGCAAATACAGGGTTTTAATAATGATGGAGTAATCCACTCTTTAGTGGAATAATCGAAAGACTGTTATTTGTTTGCAAAAAAAAATTTCTTGGGATGAAATCAAGTTTAAAATAATTGAAAAATTTGTATATAGATTCTTAGGGATGTTGTGTATAGTAAATTGTAGATAGAACGTAAAAATTAAGACTCCGAACTTCCAAGAATTGTTTTTCTCAGTTAGAAAAAAAGGATGCATTCAAAGTCAATAATGCAATGTGCTCATGACTTCTTATTCTTCTTTTTAAGATAGAGAATTTTATTTTTGTGTTCTCAATGACAATTGGTAGGTCAGTAGTTTAGAAGTAATTGAAAACAAAATGAAACTAGCCATTAATTGATAATCAAATGATAATTAACTTCTAAATAGCTAAGTTATTTTTTCTTACAAAATTATTTCGTTAATAAGAATTTTTTCTTTTTCAAAAAAAAACAAATAATCAAATTTAATTTTCTTTTCTCTTCTAAAATGAAAAATCAAGTCTTTAGAAACTTGATCTATTGGAGTAGTAAATACTAAAATTTTATTTTTTAGAAATAACGTCAATTAGGTTAATAAAAATTTATTTTCTTTTATTAAACTGTAGAATTAGATTTTTAATTTTAAAACTTTCATGTCCAAAAATAATAATATATATTTTACAATATACTTGAAAGAATAATGCATGTTTTCGAAAATATTCTTCATTTCAATAAAAAAACATTTTTTAAAAATATTTTTTAATATTTTTTATTATTTTTGAATACTTTTCAAATATTTATTAAATATTTTTCTAAATATTTCTACTATTTTTATTTACATTTTATTTTTATTCAAATGACTTTTATTTTCAAAAATACGAGATTCAAACTTTATGTTTTAAAAATATTTTTGGGAAAAATTTTCATTTTTTAATTAATTCAATTTTTACTTAATAATGATAAAAAAAAAGAAAATATATATATTAGTAAATCTATCGTGATTTTAATGCCAAAAAGTAGAACGGTTCTATTAAATAGATAAGGGCCAATTAACTATATATATTTCCAATAAAAAATATTTTCCACACAGAATTTCTAAATTCTTTATCGTTTATTAGAAAATTGTGTATATCGTTCTAGAAAAAAAAATATTTCTTTGGCTTAGAAAATTATAATGTCCTATAAAAGTCAATCTTATTGAAAAGAAAAAATATTCCACGAATTTGTGACAAGATTTTAGAATTGTTAGTTGTATTAAGTAAATATATATATATAAATAATGTGTGAGTGAAAGATAAAAAGAATAATGTAGAATGACCTGGTTATGAATGAAATTTAACACCAAAAGTTAATTAACAATTTGAGCATTTATAAAATCCTGTACAATAGGAGACAAAATATATTTATTATATTTTCCCACATAAGTGTTTTACACTTTATGGCAAATTTATCCTTTTCATTAGTTAGTAAAAAATGAAAATTATTTAGTTTTTTGTTTAGTTATAGTAATTAAAAATTATTTAGTATTCTTTTCAAGTACTAGATAAAAATTATTTATTGTTTTATTCAGTTACTAAATAAATATTATTCAGTATTGTCTTTTTTTAGAAAACAGTTATTAACGAAAAAATTTAAATTCCAAATAAGTTTTGAATATTATTTTTAAAATTATTAAATAACTTGTTAAGATTCATATTCATTTAAATATATAGGTATATATTTATATATTGTTTTATTTATACATATTATATACATTAGTGTTAAAGTATTTCTATTATTTTGATTTTATTCTTAACTAAACAATAATAAGTATATATAAAACAAAGTATAATAAAAATAAAATATATGATTTTATCACTCGGTTGTTTAAATATTTAATAAAACATTTAATTTAACGATCATTTCGAGTCAGTATCAGTTTTATTATATAATAAAAATAGTTCTTGTCGATTTTATGAAAAACTTTTATTTATTTTTTTTTTTTTTGTCAAAAATGTGCAAAATACATAATTCATGAGTTGAATTTAGATTTAAAGAGGCAGTGAGTGCAATTTAACAAATGGAAATTACAAAAATAGAAACAGTTTTTTTTAGGAAGTATTTTTGTTTGGCAAACATATTATAGAACTATGAGAAAAATATGAAGCTAATTTGATGAATTTTTTTTTCATTTTTTTTCTTTTTTTATATGAAAATCGTCATACGCCTTTTCTTTTTTTTCTTCACTAAATACAAATACTGTTTGAAAGTTTTTTTTTCCTTTCTTTTTTTTTGTAATAAATGATGGCATACATTTTGATGATAAATATTTCTACATATATTAAATATATAGTTTAAACATGGAACTTTATTTTATATCTTATTTAGGCTTGCGTAGAAACCGGCTACTTATATAAAAATAATAGTTTTGTTTTTGATTTTACACTTTTTTAAAGTAGAAAATAAGTTTTTTATGGCCAGTCGTTTTTAAGCAAAAAACAAACAAAACAAACACTGCAAAAAGGCACTAAAAATTAAAAATACATAGTCATTTGTATTATACATTTTTGTGCAAACTTGGTATTAATTTTTTTTAAATACCAATTCAACTTGTAAAGTAGAAAAAAGAATAAGAGATTTGAAAAATCTCATTCTCAAGGAAGTCAACTTAAATGTTTAATTATTTATCTTTAGAGATTATTTTTTTCCTTCAAAAACGACATTTAAGTTCTTTTTTTCTTTTGTTATCAAAACATAAAGTCTGTTGAAACAGTAAATCGTAACAATTCACTGGCTTTGGTTGATTATACTTTAGATCTATCGTAATAAAAAAAAATATACTCATCAACGATTAAATCGCGATGAAAAGTAATTTATCTTTGTGCATTTCTTTAGACATTTGGATACATTGGATTGTATGGAGATTGTTTTGTATAGGCTTCCGATGTATAACTCGGTGGTGGTTGCGGCATTGCTGAAAATGATTTTTTTTTTGATAATTTAATACACTTTTATAATTTCTGATATTAATTATACTTTTTTCAGAAAAATTTCTATTATTTAGTTGGCAAAAATATTTATTAATTTATTGAATATTATAGAACTTGGGGCAAAAAATGGAAAAGAAAAATATGAAAATTGAAAGGGGAAAAAATTATTATATTAAATTTAATAACCTGGTTGTGCGGGATACAGTGGCTGAGTGAATTGATTATTTCCAGGAGTCTGATTCACTTGTACGACTGTGCTGGGTCCCTGAGCTGTTGAAAAATTATACAGTTAACAATGTAATCGTAGACATAAAAATTAATTTTACCAACATTGCTTATCTAATTGTAAAGTTTCTCTATTATCGTATCTCGAGTATTAAATTTCAGCTCGTTGGCACTTTACACACGTTTCTAATTATAAAACAATCATTGTTTTACATTTCAGGAAAAAAATGAAAAAATTACGAAAAAAATTGCAAAAAATAACAAAAAAAATTATTTTTAAATATAATTTTTCGCAAGAATTGAATTATTTTCGTAAATAATAAAATTCCTCGAAGAAATTCAATTATTCTCAAATTTGTTGATAAAATTCGTTGTAAGAATTCAATGATTTTCAATATTTATTAATTTTAAAATTGAAAATATTTAAAGAGAAAAATTATTTAAAAAGTTAGGAAACAAAAAAGCAAACTAACTGCGAACAGATTACAGGAATACAAAAATTATTAATATAGATTTCTAGAGAAAATAAGAAATTTTTCTTATTCTCTCGAAAAAGTACGAAAATAATCTTTTTTTTTCTCTTACCAAAAATTATTCCTCTTTCTCGTTTTCTGTAACAAGGACAACATTTACAGCAAGCGCAGCATATACAACAAATGAATACCACGACCAACGATAAAACGCCGAGAACAATCGTCAATACAGCTTTAGTTCTAGAAATAATAAAAAAAGAATATTTAATTTTACTGTACAGTAAATTTTGCAATCTTTCTGAGAAATTAATTTCAATTTTTATTATTTTGTTTTTCAGATCTTTTTTCTTTTTATTTTTTTCAAAATAAAATATTACCCCGTGAGTTCAATGAATTTACTGGCATTGCAACAAAATTCACTGCCATTTTCGGAAGGACAGCAAAAGGTGTCGTCATTGTTCAAGGAAAATACACCTGGACATTGTCCTCCAATGACATTACAAGACATTCCCCCTGGAAATTAAAAGAATTAGTGAGAAAAGAAAAATGAATTCCAAAAAAAGAAAAAACGAAAACAGTGGACCACAAATTGTTTTTGTATTTAAAAAAAAAATCAAGAAGAAAAGTTCGAAAGGAATTGCAAGTTCATCTGAAGTTTCATCGACTTATTCCAAAGCCAAGTAAGTGTGTATCAAATTCCGGCTTTCGTAACGTAAGCAATGATAATGAATGACTCACAATGCTATCAAACAACTAGTTTATATTGGGATTTCCTTTAATTTATTTGCCTGAAAATATTCTCAACCAAGATATTTAAAATTTTTAATTCGAATATTTCGGAAATGTTTTAAAGGTTTTAAAATATTCTAAATATTACAATTTACAAGAAAACAAAAATATATATTTTTTATATATTCAACCGAATAAAACTTAAAAAGTTAAATAACTCTAACAAATTTAATATTCAGAGCTTCAAAGTATTGAATAATAATTGAATCGAATCGAATAAAAATATTTATTGAAAGGGTGCGCACCCTTCCATTACTAATTCAATAAAAAAAAATAATAATAATAATAATAAAAGTTGATTACTTTTATACAGATCAATATCTATATAAAATTACAAACATATATATATGAAAATAGTTACGTAAAATATTGAAACATTTCGCCGTAGTCAATTTTATTTTGAACAAAAGAACAAAGAGATGATAGGAACCTCAATTATTCCCGAATCTTTTTAGAATATTTTTGTCAATTTTTTTTTGAGTCTCTTAAAAAAATCCGTATTCTTTTTTAAGAATATTATTTAAAAATAAATTTAAAAAGTTAATAATAATTTCTAACCTGCATAAGTTGTGCAAACCCATAAACTCAGGACGCAGAATATAACAGTCAATCTCGACATTTTTCGTAGTGTTGATTTTTTCTTTCAGAGAGAGAGAGAAAATTTCAGAGGTCCGTTTTTTATTGTCACTAAAATAAGCTTCCAACTATAAAAAAAAGTAGAATATATAAGTACTTATATTTTTAAGTATATATTGTTTCACATGCAGTAAAGTAAAATTAATTGTCTCAAATACACTGGGGTTAAACGAAGACTTAATTTCTCAACGAGACCAAACAAGCTCGTACATCACTATTTGTCAAATGAATACTGAACTGAAGTCCGAGAAAAAATAACCACAACACACACAGACACTATAGAATGAAAGTGGTTGAGAAAAAAAGTAAGAGTAAAATATTAATTAGATATTTCAAAGTATTATTTGGAATAAAGAGTAAAAATTTCTAACCTGTGCGCAAAATTAATATTTTGTCCTCATGAAAAAATTTATATAATTCGTTTTTTTCTTAGAAAATTTCGTGTAATTTTTTCTAAAAAGAATTTCGTTTATTTTATTTGCTCTCGGGAAGCGGTCACGTGATTTAAATACGACAGTGCTGTATAAATATTTTCTGATTCCGGAAGTGAGGTCACGTGGTAAAAATTGACAGTGTTGTATAAATATTTCCCTTCTCCCCCGAATTTTCTGTATTTTCCATTTAATTAACTTTAAATCCTTTCAATCTTTTGAATTTCTTGGAATTAACATAATTAACATAAATTAATAAAAATAAAAATATAAATTAACTAAAAAATTATTTAAATTTTGCCTGAAGAGCAAAAAATAATATATGCAATTTATAAAAATTACAAAGGCGGGAAGTTTAAATTCTGTCTTAAGAGATTTCATTAATTGTTTTTAAATTAATAATTATTGAGTTAATTAGATAGTTAAGGTTATAAAGTTGACAGTTATAAATTTAATTAATAGCATTTTTATATCACAAATCAACGAGTATAACAATTAATTTTCAAACAAATTAAATAAAATATAAATACATACACAATTATTAAATTAATTACAAAGTTAATTAATTAAATGTGTAATAATTCAAAAATAAATTATTAAATATTATAGAAAAGTAGGAAACGAAAGTAACGAAAATAGAAAAAATGGAAATGCATCAAACTTTCTGCTTAAATTCGTTAGTTCTAGTAAAAAAGCGATTTAAAAAAAAATCTATTAAAAAAATTGTAGATTTTAAACTATTAAATATTTCGATGTATCACAATTTTTTTCCTTCTCGTAATTAGGAAATATTTTCGTTAATTACATTTCCTAAAATTTGTCCCATCTCAATGGAATGCTTTAATACAAACGAATGATAAAGATTTCGCTTACAAAGTTGAATATCAACGTCGGGAAACTTAACTCTCATATTTTGATAATAACTAACAGGCACCCAACCATCTTTTGCTCCATAATAGAACCAAAGTTTCTTTTTATTTTGTGTAACCATTTCGTTATCCAATTCTTTGACGACTGACATTTCCTGCCTGGCCAGGGCAAACACTTTTCTCAAAACTTGCGGTTCCAATAGTTGTAGAATTGCCGGTGTACTTTTTCTCGGATATCCGTAAAATAGGCCGAAAATTGTAACCAAAAAGTTCCTTAAAAACGATGGGAAAAGGGAGAAAATCCACGCCAGGAAAACTATAAATGCTGCTACTCTCAGAACCTGGGGAAAATTTAATAGAAAAATTTTATGTTAAAGCAGAAAACAAAGTTTAGAACAAATTTAATTAAATCGAAATGAATCGAATTTAAATGAATTAAATTTAATTGATTTAAAATGATTTCCCCAAAGATTTGAACGTTTAAATGAACAAAATATTTTTTTGAGTTCTAATATTTAAAAAAAATTAATGAACTGAATTGAAAAATATTCTAGTTAAATTATTTATTCAGTAAACAATATTTTTTTAATTTGAAAAAACAATATTTTTAAATTAAATTCACGTTAAGAAAATAATAATAAATAACGTCGTTCATTTGAACGTTCAAAACTTTAGGGACATTTAGAATGAAGTAAATTTAATTGAATTCAAATTATTTAAATTTAATTGAATTTAAATGAATTAAATTTAATAAAACGAAAGAAACTAAATTAGAAATATTAATATTTAGTGAGAAATTTACCACGTTGATGAGAAATCGACCATTTGGACTGTCGGCCATGTGTTCTATGGTTGGAAATAATAAATAGCATTTTATCACTCGATTTACTATTTCCTCATCTCTCAGTAGATTCAAAATGAACCAACTGCCAATTGAATGCCCTACAAGATGAAGTCTCGCATCTTTTGGAACATATTTTTTTAGAAATTCCGCCTGAAAATTCAATATTCAATAATTCAGAAATTATTTTCCAGTTATTATATTATTTCAATAATTTTAATAATAATTTCTCTTATATTTATTAAGAAAAAATAATTTACCTTGTGATCCAATTGCCCCCTTAAATCATAAAGTCGTTTATTGTTGGGCATTGTGAAAAGATCACTGGCAGGTTGCACGAAACCTGCATAACCCAAAATCCAAACCGGTGTTTCCGGTGGTAATTTTGATTTGAGAGTTTTTAAAAATTCCTCGTAAAAAGTTGGAATACCAGGATTACCCGGAATAATGACAATTACATCTTTTTTTCCATCCGGTGCCAAGCCCTCCTCAACCCATCGACCCAGTGTCAAAACTTCGGTCGGAACTTCATTGCACATTATCATTGCTCTCTGCATTTTTTATTGACGTTTATGAATTTTCCCCTGGAATTTGAAAGTCTTAAAATATTGATAATCTCAAAATTTAAAATAATATTCACAAACTTGTATACAAAAAAGAATGTTAATTGCAAAGTCGAAATAAAAAATTCAATTTTGAGGTTAGGTATTGTTGCATTCAATTCTTTGTGTTCTACTTATTTTTATGACAAAGTATAGCTGATGCAATAATCGAATATGTCAAAAATATAACTACAATAATTAATTTTAGACTATTATTCCTGACTTTTGTGCAGAAAAATATTTTCAAAAGTAGTCGAGAGACAATTAAGTAAATAATACTTACAAACAGTATTTATTCCCAAACGTTTTGTGCTAAACTTCTAGGCCTTACAATTCAGTCGAAATTCTTTTTATTTAACGTCATCAAACTGCTTTTTGATTCTAAATGCAAAAAAGCTAACTGTAAACCTGCAAACAGTAATTGACAGTAGAAATTTTCAGATATATCACAAGTTACTAGCTATTGTTACACTTTAGTATTTAATCCAAATGGAACTTTACATAACATTCAATATTCTTTAAAATTCGATTCAAAATTGAGTCTATGAATTAAATCTATTATCTATATTAATTAAAATATTAAATCTTTAAAATCATTAAAATACAAAACAAGTTCCCCTTTGGACTGTATTCATAATGACACATGCAGGGACGTATCATAACACATCTAATCTCAATTTGAAATCACCGAAGAAAATTTAAACTAAAAATTTCATTATAATAATTATTATATTACTTATTATAATAATTATAATATTCCAAATTTTTAGAAAATTAAACATTAGAATTAAATTTCCATAAAGCTTTCAAGATTTTTTATCAACATTTATTTTTCTGCCCGGGGCCCTGACTTTGAAAGCATACGTTCCTGAGGTTCAGTATAGGTTATGTTCGGAGAATTGCAAAGATTGTCAGTGTGCTATTCCTAATAGTGAAAGTAAAACAATTTGTTTATAGTTAAAGAATTTCAGTAAAACAACATTCTAGGAAATAAAAGATGCAATTTTACTCTAAATTCAATTATAAAATACGTCTCCACGTTTTGTTCAGATATTAAGAATTTCGAAAACATCAGCCGAAATAGCTCAGTTGGGAGAGCGTTAGACTGAAGATCTAAATGTCCCCGGTTCAATCCCGGGTTTCGGCAATCTTTTTTGCCTCATTTACTAAATTTATTGCAAAAATAACCCAATATTTTCATCAATGAAGCAATTGCAAAAAAATGTGCATTACAGCATCGACATTTTTTGAGGTTAGTTTATTTTTATATGCATTTGTTTATAAATTCCACGGTTTATGATATTAATATTATTATCATCCTTAGATCATTATTATTATCAATGTTAATAATATTATTATTATTATTATTATTGTCATTTTATTGTTACCATTGTTACTATTGTAACTGCAATTCGTGTTATTATTATTATAATTATTATCAATTATAATTGTTATTAACACTTATTATCATTATTATATATGGCTCTAAATTTTAATCCATTAATTATTGCTCTTATTACTTATTTCAATTTGCAAAATTCAATTAAAGAAAAATAATAGAATTTGAAAACCGGAAGTTGAGCAACAATCGATATATCGAATCGATCGATATGCGGAAGTTAGGTAGTGGAGGGGAGGGGTGATCAGTTTCCCGCGATTTTCACGGCGTTCGCCCACAAAAAAATGTCTAAACGAATTTTCTCAAGTTTTTTCCTAAATTTCAAGCGATTTTTACATCAAATAAGTGACTCGCGGTTGTAATTAGACAAGTGTACAAAGTAAATGTGTGTTATTTCGTCAAAATATATAGTTTTTTAGAGAAAAGTGGTAAAAAATGCACTGTAAGTTTTCGGGAGGAAAAGTACACTCGAAAAAGCGAATTATATATTTTTTATGATAAAATCGGTAAAATCTATAAAATTCGGCGTCAATTTGATAAACAATCGTGATTACGATATTTTCCTATAATGAATAATTGAAAATCGGGAAAAATGTTAATTATTGCATAAAAATAGGTTAGGGGCGGATTAGCAAAAAAAGTTTCATTTGCTTTTTGTAGATGGCGCAGTAAACAATTTTAATGGACAATAAACAAAGCAATGTATAGCGAAAAACGGTTAAAATTTGCATTATTAGTTCGAATTATGCACTGCAACAACAATATAAGGTTTTGTTGTAACATAACCTTCAAAAAAATATCGCTAATCATTGAAGTTGATCATTGATGGTGTAAGAGAATTTTTTTTTTCCCTAATGCGTTTTGAAGTGACTATTAAAAGAAAAACCGCACGATTTAAAAAAAAATCCAAGCCCGGAGGTCATCGACAAAATGGGTGTGTTCGTATCAAGGGCGTTACTGTGGGGGAGGAGTAACGTTATTGGGAAGGGACAATCGCTCCAGAACAAAGAGTTTTAAGAGGGGGAAGCAGCACGGAGCTCAGAGCATGATGGCAAATTCTGCAGTTACAAAATAGACGTCGGACGGTAAATATGTTACAACGTTTGTTAAAAATTGCTCTAAAAAAAAAAGGAAAATTGTAAAACGGAAGTGAAACTTGTATTTCTTTTTGCATTCTAAACTTAAAGAAGTGAACGTTTATCACAAAATAGTAATAGGAAGTTTGTGAATATTCGAAGTTTAGTGCGGAGAGATTTGTATCCGACGGGCAGCGTCTATAGCTGAGTAGGCATTTCTTTCCTGTTGCAGTTCAACTCGTCTAAAGTGAAACAAGTGTGAACTGTTAATTCACAATTATTATTGCAAATCGTAGTTTTATAGAGAGAGTTTGGTGATCGATCGCGTCCCTGGGAGTTGAGGTCGAATCTCGATCCAGCTTTAAAAGCTAGCTCGCCGACCCGGCCATCTGTATTAAAGGGAAACTCTTCTAACCATCACGAAACTCTCAAAGTCAATTTCCGTTTTCTTTTTCGAAAAAAATCCTTCTGCTAACATAACCTCAAAATTGAGGGATTGGATAACTAGGGAGTAAACTTTGAAGGGGGAATTTTTTTGTGACTGTCAGCGACGGCAACTGTAAGATATGCTTATAACGAGTTTCTCGAAAGATTCCGCAACTTTAAGAATGGAATTTTCCATTTAGTCATTTAGTGTTAGTTGCAGTGCGTGAAAAGCAAAAGGGAAGTGAAAATGTAAACAATGTAGAATTTTAAGTGTGAGCTTGGGCTCGGAAAGTGTTTTTTTTCCTTTGGATTTTTAGTTTCTTCCTCGCAATTCTTGGATTAAATAATAATAATATTTCGTGTATGGTGTGACAGCTCGTGTATATTTATTGGATAAAGTGCGTGTCTCTCTATTTAAAAAAGAAGAATACAGGGATGTGAGAGTGTACTTTAAAAGCAGTGTGCCATTCGCAAAGTTTTCGATACAGGTGTTGCATTGTTTCGTCTGGGATATGCCCTTGAGGGGATAGTTTTTTTGTTTCTCTTTTGGAGAATGGACCCCAAACTCGGGATGAAGCATCTCCAGGGGTTGTCCGTCTAGTCATCACAGTGGAGTTCTGCTTGATCGCAGGTAAGACCACATTTTTCTTAAAAATAGTTTTTGCGGAAATGTTTTCCCCTCAAAAAAAAAAAAAAAAAAGGTATACTAGGATTTACGATTCCGGTCTTATGAACCCATAGTTAGAATATCAATAGGGGGTAATTATCCTTTCCCCGTTAGAAAAAAATAGACCTGACTGTATATTTTATTGTGTAATTGTTCAAAAAAAGTGAAACTCGAATGTTTACATATCTACTTTGCTAAAGTTTGCTTTAGATTACCAAAAATATATTTTTGGAATTTATTTTTACGATTTTTATGAAACTTTCTCATTTTCTTGAATGTTTCTCATTTTTTTTTAAAAGTGATTTCTTTTTATTGCTTTTGAAAAATAATTGGAAGGATAATAAGTGTGTACTGAAAGGTAATAATTAATTAACGTGTAGTCGCACAAATCTCGTGTATTTTTATAGGGCAATATACGACGTGAGCTTTGATTAAATTTATATTGGTTCTGAAGAAAGATCGATAAGCACAAGAGTAGATACGGAAAGTACATTGCATATAAATTATCCTGTTTATAAAGAGAGGTATTAACCTAATGTCTCAAAATAGTAACAGTTTCAATCTCCTATTAAAAAATTTTCCTCTCATTTTCATTTTAAATCTAATTTTTCTTTGCGGGGATTTTTTCTACTTTTTCCTTAGCATTCACCTTTTTTCATTTTTTCTTTTCGTTCGTTTTTATATTTATTTTAATTATTTTTTCTAGTTTTTTTAGTTTTCATTTAAACTTTGTTGCATTTATTTTTAGTTTTAATTTCAAATTTATTGTCTTTATATTTATTGTTGCATTTTTTTACTATATGAAAAAATTTTTTTTTACAAAACTGAAAATACATTGTTTCTGTTTACTTTCTCAAAAAGTACAAAACTTTTTTTCTCCAAAATCAGTGTTAAATGAGATACATTTGCGAAATAAGTAGTTTAGAAAAAGAAAAAAAGAAAACTAATTGGAGTTAAAAGCAATTTTACGAGTTTTCGAGAAAGATAAATGTTTTTTAATATCCGTTTCAACGTGGTGTACGTGCATTTCCACCTATATACGGAAAGAAATATATATTATGTGGACCGGTTTTTCCATTTTACTACCGAACTTAAACATTGAACGAATAACACTCTTGAGACGAGCTTATCTGACCGACGCGATTCTTATCGAAAGTCTCTGTATTTTTTTAGGGTCTTCTTCAATCCCTTGTGAATGTTACCACGCAATACGTATAGATTTTAAAGCACTCTTTCTCGAATGGACCTTTAGTATATCTCTCACGCTTTTAGCACAAACTAAATGTAATTAAATTTTTTTATTCTCTTGTAAAAAAGGAATTTAGTATACAAAATTCTTAAAGAAAAAATTGTGACAGGAACAAGATTTTGATAAACGTTTTTTCTTTGGATTTTTATTCTATTTTTGTTTGTTTTTTTTACTGTGCTTCTATATTTAGTTCCTTATTTACTATTTTTCTGTATTTAATACTTTCCTGTTTATTTATTTAATATTATTACGTATATTATTATTATTTACTATTATTCTTATTTACTATTATTCTCAGGAAATAATTTTTTTAGAAACAAATATTTACTGTCTCTTTTTCTGTTAGTTTCGAACATATAAAAAATAGCAAAATAGTTTTATTTTCTTCAAAACTAAAAATGCTCTTTTGTTGAAAAGAAAAGTTTTTTATTTGAAAGTGACTGAATGTTAAAAAAATTTCGTTAAAATTTTTCGCAGCGCATTATTTCAATATAAAAGATTTGCGAATGTAATTTCGCAAAAGAATCAAAATTGATTAGTATTTTGATTCGCGAAGATTTTAATTATGCTGTATCAACTGTTACGCATTATTTCCTTTTCCCTTTGGAATGAAATGCTCTTTTGATATTTCGCTTTTGATTTTTCGACGTTATATTTTATTCTGCTTTTGATTTTATTTTTATTGTATTTTAATATTCGTTTTTAATTTTTGGATATTACAATATTAATTTTAATTTTTTGATATTTTAATATTCGTTTTTTATTTCTTTTCAATTCTCTTTCGTTTGATACTTTTTTCGTATTTTTTTGATACGTTTTTTTTTTTTTTAGAGGAAAGAAAATAATTTAGACATTGGGTAACTTTTTCCCTGCTTAGGATTAATTCATTAAATCATTAGATATTCCAGGTTCTAATATTCAAATATTTATAATATTGGCGGAAAAAAGAAACAGTTTCTGTATAAATAAATTTTTATTGAGAGTATTAACCCATTTTTATCTCATCGCAATATATGTGTATAGTATAATTAGCGTAGGTTTAATTATATTGTCATGGGCATTTATGTTATTAAATCGCATATTCATTATTATTGTTTGGCGGGTTTTATTTTTATGTCTTTTATTAAGTATTTCTTTCTTCGTTGCTATTTCTATATCGCTTATTAATATATTCTCTCTATTTTGAAAAAAGAAAAACAACAAGAATATAATTGTGTTTTTATAGTGGAACAAAAGAAAAGCTTTGTTGATAATATTCTGGTATGTTGACGATATTGCAACAACGGGAATAAATTTTTTATTGTTGCTGATGTAAAGCAAATGTAAATTTTCACATCCGTTGTTGTTAACAATTTATTCATTTTATTCAGTGCATGCAATTAGACGATTGTTTTTTGAAAATTTCCTCTCTCTCTCTCTTTCTCTCTTTGTCAGTAGAAAATGACTAATTTTTAGTAGAAAATAATTAATTATTAGTTGAAAATAATTCTTATTGGTATTATAATTATTAGTTAGTAAATAACTACTAAAATAGTTAATTTTGACTGCTAATTGAATTAGTAATTAAAAATAAGGCGTTTCTTAAAATGAGACGTCTTATTCTTTTTAGTTTATACATAATATATGCGTTTTAATCGTTTTATCAAGATACTGTCAGTTTGGAGAAGGATTGTGTGTTTATATTATTATATACGGCTAACAGTGATAAATTATTGAAACATAATTGGAGAGATGATAATGCTTTCGTAACATTAACATATAATGATCTTTCTTAAACATTAGCGCAAGGCTTGTAACAATAGAAGCAGTAAAAATATAATGATCAGCTGCATTTAAAATAAGAATAGTTTTTATTGCACTTGACGTACTGTTTTAAAAATAGTTCCATATGCGGCAGCCGACCCACGCCTATTTTCAGAACGTAATTCCAGAAAAAATTTACTAAAATTAAAAAATTTTTGGTTCTTTTCATTATTTCAATTTCGGATCTTTTTCTTAAATTTCTGTATAAAGATTCTCCATAGGTGAGTGATCTAATTATCTTCGCACCCTTCAAGAATTTCAAGCAAACATTCTTGTTGGCATAATTCTTAAATTGACATTGATTGAGTCTTTTATACGCATATAGCGTCTCATTCGCAAATAGTAAACAACATTCCGTCGATTCTATGAAAAAAAATCACTATTATCATTTTATACTCACACAAAAGTGTCGTCGACAATATTACTCTTTGTGTCAAAAAGAGAAAATTTTTTCCCCAAATAATTTAATTAATAAAAGAATAATTTTTCTACTTATAAATGTTCCAAAATGTTAGACTTCAAACAATAACTCTCTAAATATGAAAAAGTGGAAAGTATTAGTAATAAAATGATGAAAAGTCGTCCACCAAATGATTCTGTAATAATTTTTCAAATAATTTCACATTTTAGTTAAAAACACTAAAAAAGAAATTGAATTTGGAAAAATTACAAATAATTACAGAAATTCAATTATTTTCAAGAGTGATAAAATTATTCTCATAAATTTCAATTATATTTCAAATTTAAAAAAATTTTTTTGTCAAAATCCCAATTATCTTTATAAATAACAAAATTCTTCCCCAAAGTTCAATTATTATTTTCAAATAAATTTCAAATTTCCACTAAAATAGTACGCAAACATTAAATTATTTTCATAAATAATAAAAATTTCTCAGGAATTCAATTATTTACAAATTTTTTTAAAAATTCCTTCGCCATAATTCAATTATTTTTATAAATAATAATTTTTTTTTAAGGAATTCAATTATTTTCATAAAAAATAATTAAAAATTGTAGAAAATAATAATTGATTTGAAATGATAAAAATAATTTTGAAAAAGTTACTGTAATATTTTTATAATATCAAACAATGATTTTATCACTCGGTCATTTTTATTTAATTATTATAAAAAATAAAGAAATCGATCACTCCGAGTCTTCGACTCGGAGCAATCGCTATCTTCATGTTTTATAAAAATATTTTTATAAGTCATTGAATTTAAAAAGATTTGAATTTGAATGTTTTGAAAAATTTTAATTCCTACGGAAAATAATATTGATTAAATATTTATTTAAAAAACAAGTTATTGTAATTTTACAATTAAAGAAGTTCGTAAATAAATGTAACAGAGCATTTTTTTGAGTAAATTTTTTTCCTTTATTTTCTGAAAATTTAAAAAGTTTCAATTTAATTTTCAATTAAAATTTGTAATTGACAAATAGAAGAGAATATGTAATGTTTCTTTTCAAAATGAAAAGAATTAATTTTTGAACAATATTGTTATTGAGAAATATAAATTATGAATAAAATGAAATTTATTTGCTATTTTTAAATAATTATTTTTTAACAATTAACAATTTTCTATTTTTTATAAATAAAAAGGAGAAAAATTTGCATAATTTAAATCAATCAAACGAAATTTGTTATAGAAAAAAGCATATAATTAAACAAAATTTATTTGTTAATCATAATTTTTTTATATTTCCTAATTTCAAATATTGTTTTATTATAACTTATTTATTTATTATAATTAGTTATTTTTTACTAATAATTACATATTTATTTATTTACTAATAATTATTAGTTAAGTTTTTATTAAGAATTAGTTATTTTCTTGTACTAATAAAATTCTACTAATTGTTAATAAAAATGTTTACTAATTTAAATTAGTGACTGACTTTTTGCTTTCGC